TGCGCATCGGTGCCCAGAAAAAATAATTATTCGGCACCGGTGCGCATCGGTGCCCGGAAAAAAAATTATTCGGCACCGGTGCGCACCCGTGCACAACCAGTGCCGATAAAATATTTTTTTGTAGGGAGTTCAATTAACTGTTTTAGAAAACCCTTTTGATCCTTTGCTCTAACTGGAAAATCTTTTGCTGCTTGAAAAAACAAAAACGATGTTTTCCCAAACCAAATGCGTTTAGGAAAAACCCTTCTGGTTTTTACCAAAGCTAGAAAACCCTTCGACTCTTTGCAAAAAAACACATTTTAATCTTCTAGTCAAACAGAAAAACCCTTTTGGTTTTTAAATATGCTTTTTTCCGTTTAGGGTGATAAAAAAGTCCTTACTTGCCCATGACTTTCACAAAGTACTTCTTAGCAATAAAAGCAAGTATTTTTATCATTGAGAAGTACTTCTGAAAGCACATGGCAAGTAAGAAATTTTGAAAACACTTGCCAATTTTTCCAAGTACTTACTAAGTATTTGCATCAAGTACGTTCTCTAGGGTAGGTTTAGGTTACGATTTCTATAGGTTAGGTTGTAGGTTACACCATCGATAACCTATTTCTAATATTAACGAAAAAAAGCGATTTTGAACGACCACATTGAAACAGCCAACACTTTGAGTGATAAAGCGTAGTCCGAGTGGAATTTTATCGATTGAGAATGAAGTTCAGGCTGAGGTTCTCTAGTTTAAACTGAAAAATAGCACAATCAAAAAGAAAGTACAGAGAAAAAGGTTCCGTTTGCTAAAAATAGATGGTAAATACACAACAATAACAGAATCTTCATAGCATCGAGAGCCTAAAGTGGAATTCTGGTCTACTCTTAAGAGGTTCTCCCTATTCAGAAAGCTATTTCCCAAAGATTGCATTAAAGAATAAAAGACTCAACCGATTCATTTCTATATTCATGTAAAATGTGATTTATTTTGTATAAGCTTACCTTTCAGACGATGTTTAGATAAAAAACAATAACAATATGGAACAAAGCTGAAGTTTAGGCTTCTGAAACCAGATTTTGGAAAAAAATTGCAAAAGGTTGTAATAGGTTAATCTAGGTTAGGTTACGAAAAACATTAACAGGTTAGGTTAGGTTTAGGTTGTGAAAATTTTTATAGGTTAAGTTATAGGTTGTGAAAAAGTCGTAACCTGCAGAGCTCTAGTGTGGACACATAAAGGTATGTACATTTACCGTTTTTACGCTCGCACGCAAAGTATGGACACACAGACGTACGGCTATTTAATTTCGTATGACCCTAGACTTTACAGTCAGGGGAATAAATTTTAATTTTATCAAAATTTCAATAAAACGCATATATCTCCTTGAGAACACGTTTCCGCCTTGTAGAGCGCTGAGATGCGGGTAAAATTTAAAATTCTGAGTATATACGGAAATTTGAGCATATGTTTTAGGAGCCGCCTTATGCCGATTTCAGAATATTCATAAGATGGAATCAATTTTTTATACAAGCACATGATATCATAGGATGGAAAATGTAGTCTTGAATTTAAGACTGAAAACTTAAATCGCACGTATATTCGCTTAATAACAAAGAGAAATTGCTCGCAAGACTGCATAAGCCACTGTATTCGTCAGTATACGAAGGATCCGCGTTGAAATCAGCTACTAGCAGCAAATGATCGTATTTCGATTACTTAAGCCATTGACGCATTTTTCGAATAATTCAGGCATTTAACGATACGATTCGACGAAAACGACTTTTTCGTTATTTTGTGGGGTTTTGTCTGAGATGTCATATGTCATTGTTGTCAGAGACTTTCAAAAAGTAAACAAATCACCAACTTTAGTCTTTTCGTAATACGATTTAAGTCTCTGAACTTAAGTCGGCCTTACACTTATCGACTTAAATCACGGCTTAAGTCGATGACTTAAGTTTTTTCGTAATACGACCCCCAGAAAAGTATGCTTCAACTCACTGTATTCTGGATCCTTATTTTCGCCTAAAAAAAGAAGAGAAGACATCATCAAACATTTTTTCCTACTATATAGCTCCGATTCAGCCTACAATCAAAAGACTATTGCTGCAGAATGCTCGAATTTAGGTTGAGCTTGTTGAGTTAGTCCTTTTACATTTTTCTTAGAATCGCACTCTGTGTAAATACCTTTGAGATATAAGTTTTGACATCGCATAGGTAAGAGTATTTATATTTAATGGATATTCATTCATCGGGATTAATCCTAATCAATTTAAGGGTGGTGAATAATTATATGCTGAGGCTATCTGAATTTCTTCTATTCTATAAGTCAAATCTATCAACCAAAGAGACTTTTTTTGAGAATTTATTTAATAACATAGATAAATTATAGAGTGACGTCATTCATTTAGCTATGAGTCATGGTGAATGTGGCAATTATTATTCATCCGATTTCGCATTTTAACTCGCTTCAAATCTTCCATTAGACTAACAAATAGTAATTGGACTAAAAGTTAAAAGTCTGCGCTTAGTTCCAGTAAATCCTGCGCTACCTTTAACTTTCTTCTTGGTGCTTGTTACTTTCATCACAAAAAGAAATGCCCAAATTGATTTTTGATATTCAGTCCTGCGCTTCTGTCTTTCTCATCCAATTCTCTTCATGTACATAGTGGGAATTTTCCGCATGAAAAGCATATTTCAATAGTTTATAGTTTGCAGTGTACTTTTTGTTTAATACACTGGTTGGATATATGCAGGTATGGATATTTCTCTTACTCTACTGCGTTATATACAGTTCATAAATTCCGCTATTTGATTCAGTGTTTTATCTAGGTTTCGTTTTCCGAGTGGGCGGTTGAAAGTTTCGAAGGGGCTGTTGCATAAAAAAATTTTGCTAAAGCGAAATCAGCTGTTTACTTTCGGGTGAGAGAATCGAAATTTCGGGCAGACGCCGCCCATCCGGTCCACCCACTAGATAAATCACTGATTTGATTCTGTCTCGTTAATATGTTTACAAATGCAACTCGACTTAGAACGTTTTATTTTATGAAGTTTAAAACGTGATACAAGAGTCTCAATCAAAAGCATCTAAACAGACAGACTAATTTTTTAATGCAGCTTTTAAACATGCATTCTTTTTCCATAACGTTTGTGTCATTATATTCTTTTTTTATTTAGACATTCAGTTTTTTAACTGTATATATTGGCAATGTCGTTAATAGTTCATCCAGTCGATTCCTTATATCCTCTTGTTCTTGAACAAGGTAGTGGTGATTCGTTAACGACTGCTGCCTGTTTACAATCTTTATCATCTTCCGAACCATTAACATCAGTGACAAATAAGAAATACGAACAATCAGCATCAATTAATATTACTCCGGTTATAGATGGTTCTCAAAAAAGTGAATCGAAAGCAGTAGGTAAACGAATTATTTGTTAGTGTTATAGTCAACTGAACATACGATATATTGTATCAATAAACCGTACTAAAGAACTATTTCCAATAAGCATTCAAAATGACAGTCAAATTCTTCTAAGTTTGCATTGTATATCTTTTACAGTTGACTAAGTTTTTATTCTATTTTTTTTTAGATATTACTCCCCCACCAATATCAAACATTAAAAAAGAACCATATTTAATTCCGTTATTGGCTAATGATATAATCGATATTTTTCATAGAGTTTCATCAAAATTTTTGGCCGGTGGTAGTTATGAGTAAATTATTGTTATATAACATTAAAAAATTATTTTTTATATTTTATGCTCGTGTTTTAGACCTGCTGAAGATGATTACAATTGTACAATATTGACTCTCCATTTTTTTGTCGATTATATTGATAAAGATACAGCATTTCAATGGTTAGTGTGTCCAAATGTTCCGTTAACAGTCAAAATTCGTGTACATAATCGGTTATATTTAGATGAAAAAGGTACTTCTAATCATTAAAAGATGAATTAGAAAATATTAATTTGCACAGAAATACGTTAAAATATATGTTAGATTAAACAGATCAAATAAAACTATACTAATTGACAAGAATTACTTAAGAATAAATATTTTCAAGGAGCCAAATCTCTAGATTGCAGATTTAATTGAAGATCTAACAGAAAAAAGTTTTACAAAATTAAAAATATCGTTTTTAGCATCCTCTTGAAACCTAGTTTCTTTATAAGCTTTTTGAAACGTCTATAAACTAAACATGTTATAAAATCATCATTAAAAATTAAATATTAAAAAAGCATAACTGAAACTAAGCTAAAATTCTATGAACTATAAATCTAACATTGACTTATTTTTCATTCTAGTTGAACTTGTCCGAGTCTTTCAAAAATGTGAGTGTCATCCCTCATTTGATATCAAAGTACCATTTATTGAAAGGTAAATTGTCTATCGATGACAATTATTGTCTAATTCTATTTCTGCATCTTTTCTATTCAGAATAATTCGTGATTTTTTGACAAAATCAGGAGTTACTATGCAAATGTTGAAATTATGTCGTTCAATCAATGATCCAAAACAACGTGCAGAATTATTGTAAATTTTTTTTACACTGTTTCTATTTAAAAGTCAATATTATTCTATTTTTTATTCTAGTCTTAATATCATTGATAAAAATAAGAAGAAATGTGTCAAAGATTTAATTGATGATTCTCAAAATGATGAAGAGACATTAGATTCATTACTAGATTGTTTGGTTGAACAAGAAATTTTAGATTGTGGATCGAAAAAAGGTCAATTATTAAAATATTTAAAAAAATCTAAAGAAAGAACAAGTGCACATTATGAATTATCCGATCAAAAATATTTACCATATTTAACATATGGATTTCTTGTTCAAGTTAGTTAATAACACTTATTTCTAAATTATAAACACTATAATAAATATCAATACTTATTTTATTTAGTTTTGTTTGTACATGGAATATCGTTTAAGAAATTTAAATTATATTTGTGTTATTTGTGGTAAAAGAACGTTTGATAATGACAAAAAGATTGGAAAAGTATGCATTTTTATTTCATTCTTTATTTTTTACTTTATATTTTATTTTCTACTTTTTAGCCAACAATATGTGATGAACTATCCTGTTTTACTAAAGCCATGGACTCCGAATTTCGTGTGGATCCACTTCCACCAAGTATCTTTTCAATTGAAGTAAGTAATCGTATTGCTCGGTACATTAGAGAAACGTCTATGAAGAAAGCGATCTCTATTAAAAAACAAAAAGTGGAATAAAGAAAAGTTCCATAAAAAATTAAAAAAAAGGAAAGAAGACGCTTTTTAACAATAATAAAAACGAGGTACACGGCCATTCCGCGTAAGAGTCCACCCGAGTAAGCAAAGTCGAAAGCTTTCATTCAGTTACAAAGCTCCATGCTTTGTACATGGATCGATAGACCACAATGAGGTAGTAAATACCCTAAAAGGATTTTCCCCCATGGCTGTTGAAGACCCGGTTCTCTGGAAAGCCAGTTTTTCAAAACTCTAAAAAATAGCCAAAACCTTTTTTTTTTAATGAGGCATAATTGTAGCCCGCACATTTCTGATTAAAATGAGACGTCTCCCGGTTCTACATGACCTTTCTTTGCAAAGTTATAGAATTTACAAAAAAAACCTTAAATTAATTTCTTCTTATTTCTGTAGCTTTGAGCGGTCAACATTTATGGCTTTTCTTGTAAATCCTATAACTTTGCAAAGAAAGGTCATGTAGAGCTGGAAGACGTCTCATTTTAACCATAAATGTGCGGGCTACAATTATGCCTCATTAAGAAAAGGTTTTGGCTATTTTGTATTGAAATTCGACGATCGTGCAGTTCAGCCCAAAAAGTGCAGAAAACGTGTAAGTCCGTTACCTTTTTTTTTGAAGATTTCTCGATGACCAAGCGGTAGTTTTTCCTCCGGTTTTCACTATAGGGAAGTTCAAAGTCCGAGCTACAAAATCAGCTATTATAATCCCATCGTGAGTGTAGATAGTCGCTGAACTTTTCACTTTTCTCGGATACTTCAAAGTTCACTTCTGTTTTTTGTAAGTCTGTTACGCTAGACATTTTGTCTCGCCTGGCGTAGCGTTCCAACGAAAACTATTCTTGTTTTCAATGTTGGTAGAGCTAAGTGTCTTGTACAATTCTGTGGTCGAAGCAAGCTCTCAAGTTCTTTTGCCTTTGAAGAAAACGTCGGACAGACAAAAAGAGTAAATCCGTTGCATTTGGAATGGCCGTATGTACAATCTATATTTTCAGACTTTTTTTGTAGAACTATTATAACTCTTGTGTTCAAACATCGCTAAGAGTCTATGACTCTGAGTCTCATTTTATTCAAAAATACTTGCTTTTTGTATCACTTGAAGAATCCTTTTTTTTCCGTAATGTATGTGTGTGAAACAACAGTGTTTTTGAAAAAAAATTCAGCACTTAAAAATTTCTTCTTTGTATTTAGATAGCCGATTTTCTGATATTATTAGTTCGCGCAGCAGCTATTTCCACACGATACAATATTACATTGGATCCATATCCATGCGTGGTTAGCCCGTGCAATTCAGAGCAAATACTTATCGATTCTCATACTGGCACGGTAAACGAAAAGAGATATAACATCTCATTTTTTTGAGCTTACTCATTTATTAAGCAATATGAATTGTGTATTCTTTTAGAAAACAGAGAATATTGAGGCAATTCGACAGATAATTGAAGCATTAGTATCAATGCAATCTATCACACAATATGGATCAGATCAAAAATTTGAATTACGAAGTAAAATGGAATTAAAACATGTGTGGAGTTTTTCATTTTTTCACTGGTATGTCAGAAATAAAATTTTAGATTTCTTATTAGTGAATGGTGTTATTCTTATTTTATCCACTTTAAAACTACACTGTGGTTACCACGTGGATTGTTTCAGGCTCTCAGAGTATATGATGTGAAATATTAAAACATCTGCAAAAATTTTACGCTTTTCCCTTTCATCTGATTAAATATTTTCCATTTTATGTTCAGGTTAATGAAAACGAACCGTTATCATTTTTCTATAATTCCTCCACAATATTTATTTCAAGCGATAAACACAAAACATCAATACTTTATTCGTCATGAAAATTTAGAAAAAGATAAACGTTTTCGTGAATTAAGAAATAATCATGGTACAATATTCGCTTTTCACGGCAGTCCTCAAGAAAATTGGCACAGTATATTACGTTTTGGATTACAAATAGGAAATGCACAAAATGGAACATTGGTAAGATATTCTCAATTTAACGTGAAAACTAATTCTTTTTTACCTTAAATGTATTTTCTTTTTTATAGTTACATGGTGCTGCCTATGGTCCCGGAATCTATTGTTCGCCCAATTTTGCCGTTGCAGCGGGCTATTGTAGCCGAATGAATTATTATTCTTTATCGGGAGGATCCACTTCTGATCCAGTAGCTGACGTTGTAATTGCGTTTTTTTTATAAATCAACATTTCTTCTAAGTTTTTGTTTGTTTTGTAGGAAACACCATTGAGTACAAAAAATTGGAGTTGTATTGCATTATGTGAAAGTATGTATTGAGAAGATGATTTAATTGTTTTGTACAAGCTGAAAAATAGCATGAATTCTTATTTATCGTTTAGTTATTGATGCTCCTGATGTTTATAAAAATCATCACAATGATATTTATACAGTAGCTAATCCGGATATGATTTGTACACGTTTTATTTTCTTGTAAGTAGTTTAACTGATGAAAGAAGTGTTCATCTAATAGTTAATTGTGCGTTCAAGATCAACTGTGTTCTTTGAGTTTTTTTGCGAAATTCAAGCGATTGGCTCGTCAAATTTTCTGTTTCTTGTTGTAGTTTTTTATGCATCTCACAGATAAAGCATGCTTAATCTTATCCGTATATTAAGGACACTCCTAAATCTATTTTTGGCTCTTTGAAATATTCCTGTACAAAGACACATCAAACGTGTTCTATTGTGTTTCTATTTTCATTATAAATGAAAAGTCTTATGGGCACTTTTTCTTTTTTGCTTCAAGTCTTGATCTATTAACTCTCCCGAAACATGTCAAGAAAACTCTATTTTCTAGTGGCATCTATTATTACTCCATCAAAAACGGACTCAAATCTTTATCAGAGATACTTCCGATTCTACCTTAGAGTGAATTTTTTCCTTTTACTGGAAATATTTTTGACGAGATCGTAATGGATACCATTAGAAAATTCAGTTTTCTTGACATATCGGGAGAGATGATAGATCAAGAGTTGAACCCCCAAAAAAAGAAAAGGTGCTCAAAAAAAACAACTTTTCATTTAAATACTTTCATCTAATTTAATGTTTTTCTCTGTGTTTTAGTTTTCCTTCTTATACATCTCGATTACAAGTACGTGTTGATCAAGCATCAGAAGTGACAATAATACGAAATTTAATTCGAACATTAAACGCACTGGCTTCTTAAATAAGAAGTTTTATCACAACAATCAAATTATTTCTTATCGTCTTTCATTGCATGTTTATAATCAAGATAAACTTCGTTTTTTTGTTTTCTTCTGCCTATCTGTACGTAAACGAACAGATTGATGCCACTATTGTTTTTCGAATTATACATAAAGATACCGTCCAAAGTGAGAGAATGAGACTCTTTAGTTAAGAAAATGTTTTTTTACATTCCAACTATGTAAGACACTATTCTGAATATTTCTGGCTCTGGGAAAGTTCAACCGTTTTCTCTCATATTTTTAAGTGTGAGAATTTTCGCTGAGAAAAGCTGGAAAATCTTTTGTCAAAAACAGCAGTCTATGCAGAGAGTTTAATTAATATTGTATATAATGGAAACTTAAATTTACTGAGAAAGATTTTTTTATATCGAACGTTCCTTTAGTTGCGTTTTGTCGAAAATGGTCCGATAAATACAACGTTTACCGGCATGCAGAGTTCCTGATCAGAGGAGGCTGGCCCCTCTCTAAAAAACATTTTTTGACTTTCCGACAAAATCTTTGACGTTTTCTTCTTCTTTTGACATAAACTTCGAAAACTTTTTTTCGCCAACCACTTTCGGCGAAGCAAAATTTTTAGCTCCACCCATCCCTTGGAACAACCGGAAACTCTACCGACGTGTATGGCTAGTTAAATCTCCCAAGTGCAGATTGATTATAGTTGTAACTTATGTGGTTTTTAGATCTGTTTTTTACTATTGGACTTTATTTAAAACGTCTGATCGTTCGTTTAAGTCTATGTTCTTCTACATATGACAACAACAGATATTTTTGTTTTTTATTGAAAAAGATCGAGAAATGAAAGTATAGAATCACATGTGATGGTTCATACTCCTTGACGAATTAGTGATTAGAAATTAAAATAACTAACATTCTCACTAATAAACTTTAGCATGAGTTAAGAAGAATTTCCGTTATCATTGATCTTCGATTATTATAATTTCTTTAATTCCATATAAACACTGCTCATCCTACTGCAAAATAATATTTCCTTTATGAATATAAGCTGTTTGATTTGAAAGAAGAAATTTATTTTTATCACATGTTTATCGAAATATCTGGAATATTTATTACTATTGGTCCATCATTTAACTGATCTAAATTTCGTAAAGTTGAACTATATTTGCACAAAACTTTCACAAATAAAATAGTTTGATTTAACTAAATGTTGATATGTAAGATTAAATAAAAATCTTCGATCCATAGAAGTGAGTTTTTGTAACTTTGAAGGTAAAAAAACATCTGTTCGGAAGAATAGACATCCAAAACAGTTTTAAAAAATTTTCACTAATTCATCCTTTATACACTTGTCTATAAAATAAAGATTTCCTAAAATGATCTAAATCAGTAAGCTTTTTTCTCAGAGGCTTTTATTTTCCGAATGGTGTCTTACATAGAAAAATAAACAATATATTCAGTTAAACTTTTTATAAGTAATGTTTTACTTCATCTTTTATTTTTCTGTAAAAGTGTATTTCCACTATTTTAGTGTGGTTTACAAACGTGCAAATAGATTTTTTGGATTTGTTATTGAATATTTTTGTTAAATTTTGCTTCTTTAACATTTAATATTTTTTATATAAACATCAAAAAGTATTTTTTTAAAAAACGCAAGAAATACCATTGATGGCTTGAGAGGAATTAAATTTGCAACAAGTTTTCTTACATGGCGGTAGGTAAAGTTTCATAATAGTTTTAAAAAGACATATGATTACTAGTATGAAAATGTTTTTGGTATGATCTACAACATTTAGTTCTCTCATGTAATGTTGGTGCTTTCTTTCATCGCTAAAAGATTAGAAAGCTTTGTCTATTTCAGACAAAAAATGAACAATAGTAATAATAATAATAATAATGCTTATGAGCTTACAAAGTTGTTCAATTCGATGACAATAGATACTATTCAGTCGCAGCAGCAGTTCTTTGAGTTACTTGAGCCAGTTAAAGCCTATTGTCTCAAATCAAACTCAACTATAATGGCATCATCAACTCATTTTTTCCTGATTTATGATGAACATCCTCCATCACTCATTCTATTCGATGTTCATAGTCTTAATTTATTGGGACAAATTAATTTGAGTGATTATAATCTAACAACTGTAACAGATATGTGCTGGCATCCACAATTAGAAGTATTCTTGTTTACTTGTCCATCTCTGATATGTATGTACAGACCTTCGAATGGTAACGAGATAAAACAACAACAAATTCAGCAACAATCATGTAATCCTTGGTCAATTACATGTTCATCCAATATAGTTAGTATTTTATTCTGTTAGTTCTCATTTCTTACTGAATAATGTACTCGTTGATTTTCTTTTTCAGTCTGATAAATCGAATAATTTATATATATGTTTTTCGTTCGGTGATTATCTTGATTCTTATTCGTTCCTGTCAGGTTGGAAATTACTAAAACGTTGGTTCAAAAATGATTTATGCGAAATAACTGATCTCGGTCTTAATTGTATTCGAATAACTAGATCAAATGATTGTCTAGGAATGTCAATTAAAGAAGAAAATTTAACATGGCGCATTGATCTATTTTTACTAGAAACAATGACGAGATTACATCGTGGTATTACAATTGAACAACAACAGACGGGAGCAAACTGGATTGGAATTCTAACACCGATGATATTGTCAAACAATTGGTTATTTGCCGATGGAGATTGTGGGCTATTTTTTATTGATAATAAAAATAGTCAAATAAAAAAGATGAAAAATACTGCCTATGCAACATGTATATTGAGTACTAACAATTTAATTGCTATTAGAGAATGTGAAAAATTGAAATTCTATAGTATAGTTTGATAATATACTTATCTATTTTATCGTTAGGTGTAAAAATGAAATCTGAAGTTAAATGTTAATCTCAATGGTGCAAAATCATAGAATTATGTGCAATAAATCTACTATGAACATTCCTTTATTAACTAATAAAAACGAGTTTTCGAATAAAACTGAAATCATTATCACCTACATAAAAGTAATAAAACATATGATAATAAGCATATCTTTTTATTTTTCTATAATGTTGGTTTTTTTTGTTTTCGTTTTTTGAAATATTATTTGAACTGTGATCGTTGCGAGGCGGAAAAACAATGTAGTTGCCACGATTACATAAAAGGACAGAAATAAGCAGTTCTATCTAGTATCGTATGTATCCAAACTACTATTATCTGCTCAAAATAAAATGAGTTTCGGTTGTTATTTTTACATAATTTTTCTACGAAAAGAGATGAAGATTGAATTATTTTACTTACCAAAACAGAAAAGTGAGACAAGTCTCTTCAACATTATTACAACGTTCAAAATCCTTTTCAAGAGTAGAATTTGAAGACGATCTCTAAGCAGCTAGTATAGCTATACAAAAAAATCAGTTAATTTTAATTAGTTTTGTATTTCACTTACTTTGATTTCGTTACTCAGAACAAGCGGTCGCGAAATTTTATACCATTGATCGTTACTGTCAACGCTTTTCAGACGATTGTAGCAAATAACGGTAGACGATTTAAAGACATATATTTAGACTTAAGCTAAGGAATAGCGATGCTAGAAAATGTAAACTCACCCCCAAAATTAATCAACAGATACATTAAAACACGGAAAACTCGAATTTTTGCCTATCTGTTTCATTGGTCGAAAAGTTAAGATAAGGAGGAAAATAGAATCGAACAATGCGACGAATCATTATACATATTTTACCTCTATGTCTCTATATGATGTATGTGTACAGCGTGAACCATACACAAAAGTAGCTAGCACTTTCAATTAATGGTTTTTAAAGTCCTGAGTATTTGTATGTTCTTACACTCACGCGAGGCAAAAAGGGCGAGCTCGTACTGTGACGGAGGTGGCCAAAATCGAAAAACTTATAGTTCAGAGAAGTCATCTATATCCATTTTTCTTTTGTTTGCTCTTATAGTTCATCGAACTAGAGTACTGTATTCATCTGTATGTTAAAAAATTGAAAAACTGCATTTTTGAAATGGCTTAAGAGATACTTAAATTAGAGATCAGTCAAAAAAAACCGGAAAAAAATGTTGTCCAGCTGTGCGCATCATGAGGATTTTTTTTATGATTACTTTTTGCTCTCAGATTAGGTTTTACTTTCTTCTACTTCTGTGGGTGACTGCATCTAAACTATACATATGTACGGATTAAAAAGGAATTGAATGAGTAGCATACAAAATTTTTGCCACTTTGCCCGTGAAATCATCAGTTTTAGAAAATACTTTAGGACAGAAGCAAAATTCTCCTAAAATGACGGTTTCTTTGACAGAGTTCATCGAAAAATGATCGTTTGTTTCTATAGAAAATTCGAGACTACATACGAATGGATGCACTTATCGGTACATAGCAGAGATATAAGGTGTCTATATTCATAATTAGTGGCCATGTAAATCAAAGATATCAATTTGACAAACACTTTTCGTTCTTATTTCTTCAACTACTCACAAAGTGATCCATTTCAGATAAATTAACATCAGCAAAAACAATGGGAAAAAAAGTGAAGACTGGAAAGTTGCGTCGAGATAAATTTTACCATTTAGCCAAAGAATCGGGTATGTGTTTTTGGAATATCAAGTAACCTAATGTAATTTTTGATTATTTGTTTAAAGGTTTTCGTTCTCGTGCTGCATTCAAATTACTACAATTAAATCGTGAACATCGCTTCTTAGAAAAATCTCGTGTTTGTATTGATCTATGTGCCGCACCAGGTGGATGGCTTCAGGTCGCTGAAAAACATATGCCTGTGTCAAGTTTGATCATTGGTAAGAACTTTAATTGAAAGATGAATAAGTACTTAGATGTATATGTATCTTGTTGTAGGTATCGATTTAGTACCAATTAAACCAATTCCAAATACAATTACTTATCAGGAAGATATCACATCAGAGAAATGTCGACAAGTATGTATTGGAAAATAGAGTTATCATAGTTCATAATAATTTTTGTTTTTAGTAGATAACTGTCTTTTTTTTTACATAAAATAGTTTAATAAGCATGAAAAATTTTACCTTTTTATTATTTATTTGTTTTTAGTTGTTAAAGAAAGATTTGGGTACATTTAAAGCCGATGTTATTCTTCACGATGGAGCACCAAATGTTGGAAAAAATTGGATTCATGATGCTTATCAACAAAGTAAAAAGAGACATCAAAATGTTAGATACCTTGATTTTTTTCAACATTTTACTATTCATTTTTAGACGTCTTGACATTAAGTGCTCTTAAATTAGCTACGGAGTATTTACGTAAAGGTGGCTCCTTTATAACAAAAGTGTTTCGCTCTAAAGATTATTATGCCCTACTATGGGTATTTCAACAAATGTTCAAAAAAGTCGATTCAACTAAACCACAAGTAAGTTACGTTTATTTGAACGAGTTACATTCTTCATTCGCATAGAAATTGAACTTATGTTAATGCAATTTAAATGTATGACTCTTTTTTTAGGCGTCTCGTAATGAATCAGCTGAAATATTCGTTATCTGTCATGGTTATTTAGCACCAGATAAAATTGATCCTAAATTTCTCGATTATAAACATGTGTTTACAGAAGTTGAGATTGATTCAACAGAACATAGTCGAGCTAAGCTTCTGTTAAAACATCCAGAAAAAGTCATTCGGTAGGTAGTCGAATGACATAAATCATATATTTAACTCTTCATTTCTTTTCTTTTCTTTGTACTTTTAGAAGTCGTGAAGGTTATCCTGAGGGTGATTATACACTTTATCACACATTAGAAGCAACCAAATTTATTCAAAGTGAACAATTTCTTGATCTATTAGCAACGTCAAATAAAGTATGTAACACATTATTTTGTCTAAAAGTTAAAAACAGCATCCAGAATCTTTCCATTATGTTTAAAGTCATTGTCCGATAAATTATCTTCTCCCTTTAATCTTGTTGATTGTACTGTAAACTCTGTTCATTATACCTTCTTTTTCCATATATTTAGATTATTATCGATGACGAACGTATACTTAAACATCCGGCTACTACAAAAGAATTAAAACTGTGTTTAGAAGATATCAAAGTTTTGGGAAAACGAGAAATAAAGTATAAAATATATAAATGTATTGAAAATTAGTTTTAACTAAAACGTTTTTTTTTTATCATTGTTTTAGATTAATTTTGACTTGGCGAAAAAAGCTCGCAGCAGCACTGCATAAAGCTGATAGTAAAACTGATAGCACGCCAAATAATGAAAAAACAAGCACAGATATGGCAGACATCAATCAAGAAGAACAAAAAGTACAAGATGACATTGAAGATAAGGAAGATAAAGATATTGAAGAACAATTATTGAGACTAAATGAACAACAACGAAAAGAGGCGAAGAGGTAATTATTGAGAGTTAACTTTTTATATCATTTACATAGAAATTAAATTATAATCTGTTCATTCTATTTAGAAAACGTAAACATGTTATGAAAGAAAAACGTAAATTACGTGATCGTTTAGCATTAAAAATGGTCTTACCCGGTGACATTCATGATCATGAAGCATCAGGTGGAAATAAAAATGATCAGGGATTATTCGATTTAGAAAAAATTAAAACAAAAAAAGTAATTGTTAAATTTTTTATTACTTCATTACTCTTTTTATATTATTTGTCTATATTAATTTAGCAATTACTCGAAATATCATCAGCATTACCGGATATGAATATATTTGGCAAAGATAATGATGATGAAAATGAAATCAATGAATTTGGATTGCCCAAAAGTGTTATGTATTTCAAGGATAAAGATGAGAATTATGCTCAATTAGATATTTATAAACAATATTTGGATGATGAAGAAAATACAGATAATGATGATAATATCGATGCGTATGATTCAGAGAGAAAACAACCAAAATTAGATCATCTAGAAAGGTATTGAATCTTATTGTTTTCTTACTGATGTTTAGTTGAAAACTGAATAATTTTTATATGATAAACAAAAAAATCTTTTTATAGTGATACTGATGGTGATGATCAAAAAGAAAATGAATGGGATGATATGGAAGATGCTGATGAAGAAGAAAATCCTCTTGATAAAGATATATTAACAGCTGAAACAAAGAAAGAAAAGTCCAAAGCAGTTGCTGATGTTTGGTTTGAACAAGATATATTTAAAGATGCAATAAATGAATTCGATGAAGATTTTGAAATTGAAAGAAAATTATATTCATTGAAAAAAAATGGTAGAAAAATATTAAGTATGTCTATATCATGTCTAAATTGCTTTATATATTGTATTATCTATTTTTCAATTTGATCATACAGATAAAACAAATATAAATACTGACAATGATACAACGAAACAGCGTGAATTAAAAGGCATATTGAAAACGTCGAATCAATCAGAGATCACCAATGGAAAAGGTAAAAAAGTATTTTTGACTCTGTTTGACAAGTCTAAAAGTTTGATTTTCAGATAGTGATGAAGATGGTACGGACGACGATTCTGATAATAAACAAAAGAAGAAAAAGAAAAAACGACTACGTGAAAATGAATTTGAAGAAGTACCAATTAATCAACGTATGTTTCTATAAACATTAGATGTTTGCCATTATCATTTTAAGTATGTATTTTTTTCGTTTTTAAAGCAATGAAAAGAGTTCGTCTTGATGCCGAAGAATTAGCGTTAGGACATGTAATGGCACAATCAAAAGCAAATCGTGAACAAGTCGTTGATCATGCATTTAATAGGTATGATATTTATGAAATTCCTTTTATCAGGTTGTTTTTATCAATAATAGTTTTGTCTTTTCTTCAATAATTTTAATTTTATTTTGTAGATTTATGGGTTTTGGTGATATTGATGGTTTACCAGCATGGTTTGTTGACGAAGAAAAACAACATTGTCGTGGTAGTTTACCAATAACGAAAGAAGTTGTTGAACGTTATCGAGCAAAAATGAGAGAAATTAATGAGAGACCAACGAAAAAAGTTGCCGAAGCAAAAGCAAGAAAGAAACGTCGAGTAAGGAAGAAATTTAACAATATGATGAGTGTTTTTTTTTTCAAATTACTTATCTATTTAGGAAATTAGAAAACTTGAAAAAGTAAAAAAGAAAGCTGAACCAGTTTTAGAAAATCCAGATATCACCGATCAAGAACGAAATAAACATTTGAAAGGGTAAGTCAATTGTAATCTAACATTCCATTGCATCCTTCACTTAGTAGCACTCAATTTTGAACGTTTATTATCATTTATCTTGGTTTTAGTCTGTACAAGAAATATGGTGTTATCGGTCAAAAGAAGGCAAAAGTTCAATACGTTGTGGCTAAAAAATATCATCGTGGTTCAAAACCCGCCGGTACAAAAGCTCCATATAAAATTGTTGATAAACGTTTGAAAAAGGATAAACGAGCGGTAAAAAGTATTGGTAAAAAATCGAAAGGTAATAAACGAACTATAGGACGAAAACAGGCAAAACAACCGTTGAAAAGAAAGAAACGAAGTTAGACAAAGTACGCTTATTTTGTTGTTGTTTTCTTTTTAATATGTTCTTGTTATTTGTATCACAGTATTTTTCATTGTTATATAAATTTTATAGAAGCGATAACATGGTTCTAGTGAAGAACTGTACTTCTGTTGTTTATGCTTAAAATTTCTTTAATTTATTTTACTAAAAAGGCAGAGAAAATTGACAATAGCAATGTCTTTTTTCATTTAAGGTGAGATCCACAGATCTGTTACAAATTATAGCAGAATATCAAGAGATTCTACAAAAAATAATTTGCAGAGTTTAAGAAATCGTTGCAGATATTTTCACTCCTATAAAATATTTTTCGATAGATATTTAGTAAACAACTTTGTTGAAGATGCAGCGCACAGTCAGTCGGTAGAAAATTTGCGACAGATCTCATATTTTACTTAGATAAGTAAAAAGGTATCCATGTGCATATAAACAAATTAAATATGATAAATATTTGTATTTCTTTAATCAAATATTTCTGTTTTTGTAAGAATATTTTTTTCTCATAAAGTCGAGTGCAAAGACCTGTTTAAGATAAAAACATAATTCACAACCTAACAATTTTCAAGCAGCTGCAATTAGCCGTGGTAATTGGAAAATTATTAAAAAATATCCGAATGATTGTTGATCTCTTTCTTACATATGTTTATTAGACTAGAAATCATCCTCGATCATTTTTTCCAAGTCCGGTACTGTACACTACAAGCGGTTTGAAAGAAAATGTGTAAAATTTTAGGATCGTTTCAGTACGAAGCAAGCCGTGTTAACTTTGGTCAGCTTGCAGAATACAGATTATTTTGAGAATGTACAAAATATTAAAAATACAGGATTTTTGATGATATACCAATAGGACATGAAGTTTATTAATGCATAAAATTCATAATCTTTTTCTTATTTTTACATCGGTTAATCTGTCATTTCGTACGAAGAGTTGACGCTCCGTGAAATTTCACAAACACTTAACTGAGAAAGAATAGAACAATTCAGATATTTTGTGAGCTTAAGCGAAGCCAGTTTCCGCTAGACATCCTTTGGGCGGACCGACTCCTCCTCAGAATGTTTTAATTTCAATGTAGATTGATAGAAAATTCAGTTTTATGTAGTTTTCCATATTTTGAAATCTAACCCGCTGTCTAATGTTTCTTGTGACATTTTTAATGGGTTATTGATTGCAATAAAGTTTTCTGATGATCGAATTGAAATCATACAGAAAAAACGTTAAAAAAAGATCAAAAACATCGAGCTATTGGTGTCTCGTTTAACTTGTTAAACAAATATCCCCATGATTCCAAACATTTAACTCACATATTCTTGTAGCTCTTTTCACGGATTATCGATTGCATTAAAAATGGTTTATGATTGAAGTTTTAATGGTAGAGAAAAAAGCGAAATACTGTAGCAGATAACGCTGAGAACTTAGATCTGAAGTGGTTTTCTTTGGTAAAAAATAACGATTCTTTTTACCTTAAAGTATTCCTTCGCACATCACCTCGTCGAGCTCTGTCAATTGGTATATTTGAAACATTTTGAGGAGAGACTCATCCCGGAACCTTGTCAACCCCGCTCAAAGGACGCGAGCGAACAACGGGTATAGTGAATACAACAGTAGGACCCCATCAAATACAATCGTGTAATAAACGAACAATTCAAAGAATTCTAAAAACAGATAATTCTTGTGATCAACGTTGATGATATCTAACACAGATGCATGAAGCACAGTCATTGTCTCCAATGATATTTGTTAGAGAAGGAAACGTATGGATGTTGAGTAAGTACCGCTTTTTAATTTTATTGATTCTTTGAAAAAAGTTAGGTGTTTCTCCATATGGACCTTCAGATAGCGACCTGTAATTCAGACAAGAAAATTACAGTTATATCTTCGTATTATTACGTTAAAGAACGTCCTGATGATTGATTTATTCTAGTAAAAGATTGCCTATTTGTGCTTTAACTAAAATATTGGCAATAAACCAGTGCCATTTTATGACGACAGCTAACAGAGGTTATGATAGAACTCCAATTGATTTTTAATGTTTATTTAGCTGCAGTGGAAGAAATATCAAGAAACAGCAACTATAATATTCTTATGGGAATTATTGGTGGAATTTTATTGCGGTTATTATTGTGTGGTAAAAAAACCAGAAGTACGAATTATGGTCAATCTCGTGGATTAAGAAAATATGCTTAATCCACGAGATTGACGATAATTTCTACGAGAAACAGTATAATTCTCGTAGCAATATCAAAGTTGCGCTTTCTCAACTTCTCTGCCACCCTTCTTATTTAGAATAATAATAAACTTGGCCTCTAGACATAATGAGATTATTTTATTGAATGACTTTGTATCGTAATACATTACAATATAGAGGTGATAATCAGAGTTGCCAGATGCTTAGGTCAGACAAGCAGAAATTTTTTCCAAAATGCGGAAAAAAAGTGGAAACGCATTTTTCACTAAGCTCAAAGGGTATCAAAAGAATTTTTCTGGCGCTTGATGGTGGTTCCACTTTCCACACTCCAGAAACATAAAAGTAATCCCATGTAAATCCCAATTTGAATTGATATTGACTTTTTGATCAGTCGTCATAAATTTCAAGAGTTATGTATGGCAGGATAATTCCATCCGAAACTTTCGCGTCTACAACAGCATTTAATGGTTAAGATTTTCTAACCGAGTTGGCTTCTTAAAGATTTAGTATTTCACTATTTTTCACGCTCCCTTTCAACAGCACTTGAGACAAGCTAATATCTTTCTGTTACCGCTCACTTCCGGGACAAATTTTTGATTTAGTTCTTAAAACAGTGCACATCTGTTTTATGAAAGTTGTAAAACCATTGTTTTGACAAGACATTCAGCCGCAAAAGTTGACAAATTTTTTATGAAAAAATATAAAAATCTTCATTGCAGAAAAAAGAACAAAAACAAAAAGTCCTCGAAAGCGGAGAAATTGCGGACACTTTTCGGAAAAAACTATAGAAAGTGGAATTTGTCCGCAAAATGCGCACCATCTGGCAATTTTGGTGGTAATACATTCAAAAAACAATACGTAGAGACACACCGCTTGTTATATACATTTCTATCTATTTTAGTTTTTCTTTTATAGTTTCTTCTACTATAAATTAATTGACGATGACTTAACTCGATCCCACTGGTGACTGTGGGCCTTGATTTCTTATAAAAAAGCATTAACTAATTTTTACTGTGATACATAATCACTTGAGAACGAGATTACTTGAAAAATGAAATTTTTCGAAACTTTGAAATAATATATTTAATTCACACCGATTTCAAGAGCAAACATCTAAAAATATTTCAGAGTATGATAATCTTTGAAATAACCTGAAATACAAAATTCGACGTTACATTCAATGCATTCATGTCTGGAGTCAGTCCTCTTTTTAGCTCTTCTTGTTGTATGTGTGCAGACTACGCATTGTCTTTGGGATTTTGTCTTGTTAATGTTGAAAGTATACGTGACGACGAGACCACAGGAGACATTCATAAGTCAGCTACGAGTTGATTTAGAACCGCTACGTATATATACCTGACTCGTCTTCAAGGGATTAAACAGTCTATCCGATTGTGTTGTTGCTTCAAATTTGTTTTTTTACTGTTTTGCAAACTTGTTTTTGTCTGTTTATCGGGAAAATATAAGCAAAATTAATGAGTGAGTCTCTCGTATAAATCATCAAACACGCTAGTTTACTTTACCACTAATAAACTAGTTTCAAGTCTTCATTTCTTGTTATTCTTTTTTTTTTGCATATGCAAATGAGTAACAGATACCTCAGCAAAGGATATGACTCTTATGTCAACAAAGTTTTCTAGCGTGTTTACAATATCTTCTCTTTTAAACAAGAGGTGTAATTTATCTTTTTAAACTGATAGGTCATGCTCTTGTTTAAAACATCATTATTTTAATCAAAGACTAATATGAGATACTCAGAAAAGCGTGCTCACCCAAAATATTAATATTGCTCAAACGGTTTATTTTTTTATGTAAATTCTAAAATTGAGAGAAATAAAATCACTTTATTGCGCTTGGCCTTGAATTCTGAGGTAATCTCTCCATCTGCCACGCTGAGTTCATACTCAAATAGATTCTTACAGTGGGAAAAATAAATGTCTGTTTACCTGTTTGGACTCAACAATGTATCTATAGAAAGAAAAGAAATACTTAGTATCAGATTTGACTATACAATATATTAAAAATATATTACATTAAGAGCTATATTTTATTTATCAGAAAATGCGAGAAATTTTACATTTACAAGTCGGCCAGTGTGGAAATCAGATTGGATTGAAGGTAAAGACTAGAGATAGTTGAACTACTTAATACCTAGGGAAGAAGGAGTCTACTCTTTTTTCGATAGTTTTGGGAAGCGGTGTGTGATGAACATGGAATTGATCCAACAGGAACCTATGTGGGTGATTCATCACTCCAGCTTGAACGAATTGATGTGTATTTTACAGAAGCACAAGGTAAATAGAAAATTGTGTCTTATGAAAGCTACTACAAACAATTCTATATTTCGTAGGTCAAAGATATGTGCCACGAGCAGTATTAATTGATCTAGAACCAGGCACAATGGATGCTACAAGAGCAAGTGCATATGGGAATTTATTTAGACCAGATAATTTTGTTTTCGGACAAAATGGAGCTGGTAACTACTGGCAAACAATTTGTGCATTCCGCGTTTTTACTAAAGAATATTTTGCTGCTTAGGTAATAACTGGGCAACAGGACATTACACGGAAGGTGCCGAATTAATTGAAAATGTTATGGATGTTGTCAGAAAAGAATCAGAGGGGTGCGATTGTTTACAAGGATTTCAACTCACACATTCACTCGGTGGTGGTAAGTAAAAACGAAATCTGTGATATATTCAACATTTTAAGACCCCCGTGTCAGACATTTAGATTTTTTCATAAAAAGTTGAAATTGAACTAAGTACAGGGTTGAACAGCCTAAGATGTCCATTCTTAGACTTCTATTTTTGCCAATATAGAGGTTGCTGAAGAGGTTTTCTAAGAAGCCTGGAAACTGAATTTTCGGAAATTTTAATATTTCAGTAAAATGCCGAAATTAAAAGGTATTTCAACGATTCTGGTTTGTAGAGCAAACGTTCCGCTTGAGATTTGCTGTCTCCCAACTTTGACCGATGATTTGATGTGAATTTATGACAGTTTTAGTACGAGCTCTACAATTTGTACTACACACGAGCCATATCACACACCATATCTCAAAATCGTTTTTTTCCCGTTAGGACTGTTCATATTCTTAAAAATTTGCGTTCATATAAATGATGGACAGCTCTAATTGCTTTCAAAATGAAGCTAACACATGCGGCTGACCTTGACAGAGTCCAAGTTTTGAATTTTGATGCAGTTTTAGAAAGGAGCAGAATTTTTGAAAACTCTTTGTAAGGTTTTGGGATTTTCAGCTTCCTATGTCTGCCGAAAAGCAGTAATGCAAAGAATTAAAAATCGAACTATGTTAACCTCTAGCCACCAATGTTAGCTTCATTTTGAAGTCAACTCGAGTAGGGCTGTGACAGTTACCAGTTACCATTACCACCGTTAGTCGGTAATGGTAACTGCTGAACAGTTGCCGTTCCTGGTAACGGGTAAGCAGTTACCGTTACTTTAACGGTAACGTAACGGTAACTGTTCATTATATCTTTCAAGTGTCAAATCTCTGAATAGTGAGGATGAGGCTACGAACCCTCGCCTCACTCTTACCCTAGGTACCTAGATATTCAGAGATTTGACACTTGAAAGATATACTGAACAGTTACCGTTATTTTAATGGTAACTGTTTACTCGTTACCGTTACCAGGAACGGTAACCGATCAGCAGTTACAGTTACTGTAACGGTAATGGTAACTGTTACAGCCCTAAAGTCGAGCTGTCCAGTATCTGCCTGGACGCAGATTTTTGAGAAATATGAACAATCCTACTTTAACCATTGCTGTGACCACATCTCGTGAACAAATAAAGATTAAATCTAAAAACATACTTTGACACGGTCAGCATTCCTAAAATTTTTGTCAATCTAACTTATGTGTATCGAGATGTACCAAGGAAGATCTTATAATGATGTTACGTTATTTGTATCCCATCTTTGCCTTTACTTTATATTGTAGGAACTGGTAGTGGTATGGGCACATTATTATTATCAAAAATGCGCGAAGAATATCCGGATCGTATTATGAATAGTTATTCTGTATTTCCTTCGCCAAAAGTAAGTGATACCGTTGTTGAACCGTACAATGCAACGTTGAGTGTTCATCAACTCATTGAAAATACGGACGAATCATTTTGTATTGATAATGAAGCTCTATACGATATTTGTTTTCGAACATTAAAATTAAAAACACCAACATATCAAGATTTAAATCATTTAGTTAGTTCAGCAATGTCCGGTGTAACAACATGTCTGAGATTTCCAGGTAATTAAATTGTTTTTCTCTTTTTATTGATTAGAAAAAATATTTCTGTTTAGGTCAATTAAATGCCGATTTACGCAAACTAGCAGTAAATATGGTACCGTTTCCTCGTTTACATTTTTTTCTATGCGGTTATGCTCCACTGACAAATGCTAAATTAGAACAGTATCGCATATTAAACGTGTCTGATCTATGTCAACAATTATTTTCTTCACAAAATATGATGGCGGCATGTGATCCAAGACATGGTAGATATCTAACGGTGGCCGCCATATTTCGAGGTAAAGTTTCAATGAGAGAAATTGATGAACAAATGATGGCAGTACAAAGTAAAAATTCATCATATTTCGTCGAATGGATACCAAATAATGTTAAAACGGCCGTATGTGATATAGCACCAAAAGGACAAAAATTATCGGCAACGTTCATTGGTAAGTTAATATTTTTTTGCTCTTAATTGAGAATATCACCAATGAAATTATACACATTCTTCTTTTCTAGGTAATAGTACATCGATTCAGGAAATATTTAAACGTATTAGTGAACAATTTACAGCGATGTTTCGTCGTAAAGCTTTTCTATTTCGTTATACGGAACAAGGCATGGAAGAAATGGAATTTACCGAGGCTGAATCAAATATGAACGATTTAATCTCGGAATATCAACAATATCAAGATGCTACACTTGAGGATAATCCAGGAGATGAAGAACAAGAATAAATTAAGTAGTAGGAAAAATAAGACGTGTACAACTCTAGCGAAAATGTTTTGACTATAAAGTGTCACCTTCTTTCCTAATTCCATTTTTTCTCGGCAACAAGATGCTACTATCGCATTTAATAGTCATGAATCTTTAGTGTATAAATCGATTATTTTATCTAATTATTAAACATTATTTTAGCATGTCATACATTTTTCATTATTTATTTTTTTTTTTAAAAGCTCTAAGAAAAAAACCAGTGTTTTGAGACTGTCGAGTTATGTTCAAAATAGAAAAGAATTACTTATCATACTTCTTTTACTTAAGTAAAAGAATCTATGATCCAATCTTGAGATCTCAAAACATCAAAAACAAAAACGTAGAATTAATAAGATCGAGAAATCAGAAATCTCTGTAAAACAATGTTAAAAATGTTAAAAATGTAGAATGTAGAACAGAACTATAAGTACGGAAAAATGGACTCGTATCTCCAAGACGTTTGTCGCTCATACTTCTTTCGATAAATCTTGGTGCAACACACCGTCAGTTCAAAGAAGTAAAGTAAGTTTTTTCGTTTCCAAGTCGATTTCAGTCAAACACAAGCTTGTTAGTCAACCATTCTCCCACTGCAATCCTGTACAATAAACTCCTGCTCATTACTTTCAAAAATATGTTAATTGTCTTTTGTAATGGGTCCAAATGAATCCATCTAAATAAATAGCTTTAACCCTTGGGAGACGGGAAGCCTATATTTGGGCAAAAGTAGCGGCACCCGTGTAACTCAAGAACCATGATAGCCAGGGACTTCTAATTTTGTGTGGTTGCTCTTACCAGCTCTTACCATGCTGATGGCCCCCAAGTTTGGGCCTCTTTTAAAGAATGGCTCGTGAGATATAAGTGATTTATTTCTTTTCTTCAGAGACAAAAGTTTCACCTGCTTTGTTCGGAACCATAGATTTTCATGATTGTTTTTTCATGATTATGATGTACATTGAATGCAAATTCTTTTGTAGAAAGAGCGACCCTTAGTTCCTTATCCGTGCTCTTCTATCGTTGGTGCTCGTTCTCAATGAATTTCAAGAACCAAATAATGGTCAATCTTCATACGTTGGCTGGATAATCCACAGACACTGTAGAGCCTTTGATGCGAATTTGAAGTTAAAATGATGCTCCTAGACTGAGTTGTGAATTTTTTTCTTAAGGAACCTCGAATTTTCAACAAAAAAAGCGATCCTCCCCCATAAAATAGCTGTATTTCACTGACTACTAACAGCCAACTCACGAAATTCATACCATAAATAGAGTAGAGTCATGGATACATTTTAGTAAAAAGAACAAGTTTTCATCTCTCATAGATCAGGTGCTATTGATATTTTACAGAAAAGAATAAATCGCTTATATCTCATGAACCATCCTTTAAAAGAGGCCAAAACTTAGTGCACCATCAGCATTCGGTAAGAGCTATGACCACACAAAATTAGAAGTCCCTAGCTATCATGGTTCTTGAGTTACACAGGTGAGTTACACTTTTGCCCAAATATAGGCTTCCCGTCTCCAAAGGGTTAAAAACAAGAACCATCTGCATTAGAGATGTGCAACCCGACCCGACCCGAAGGTTGGGTACGGGTACGAAGTTGTCGGGTACGGGTTTTATTTTTTTTAATTTACCTGAAAACCGGAAGGTTCTAGTGGAAAACCCAAAACTTAGTGAAAACATATAGGAATTTAGCTAAAATACATGAAGGTTTAAAAAAGAATTACTTGAGAACGTAATGATAATTTGACATCTTCAGCCGAAAAACAAAAGTTTTTAGCTGGAAAACAAAAAGGAGAAAATTTTTAGGTATAAGTCGATTACGGATCGGGTACAGGTACAAAAATGGTACACGTGCGCATCTCTAATCTGCATCCATACAGGTACGAATGTACAAAACATGTGCTCTGAGAGAACTAAATTATACTATGAAATAACGAGATAAGATCTAGCATCTAGTCTTAAATTACTTTTTACTAAAGATAAAAGAAGAAATTATTTTCTTCTCATTCTTTTCTCTAACAATTTCTTTCTATTCTCGAAATTAAATTTAATCTACTTGAATTTGGCTAGATGAACAAATAGGTTAGTCGAAGACAAATAGAAATTCAGTTTTGTTCGAATAGAAAGTATCAAAATATTACTTTAGTATCTACGAGAAAAGAAACGCGCTTATTTAAATGTGAAGAAAGATAAATTTATTCTATTAAAAGTAGATAAAAGAACAAAAACAATGTATTTTTCATCTAAAAGTCAGCCTTACATTCATTCAACAAATTTGATCGATGATAATCATTATTTACCGGGAAGTGCACGTGATAATTTATGTTTAGCATTTTTTAGTTGTCTATGTTGTTTTCCAATTGGTTTAGCAGCTCTAATTCGAAGTATTCAATCTTATGAACTATTATCTCAACATAATGCTGTATATTGGCCCGGTTTAGCTGAATATTATGGACGAGAATCTTTTCGCTTATCGATACTAGCTATTCTATTTGGTACGGTTATATGGGCTAGTATATTGAGTTATTATTTATATAGATTTTATTATTTAAAATATTCTTTTGCAAGACATATTATTGAATTATCATCATAAAAATATTATTTCTAAATTTTTAACAAGGAATAAAGAACAACTCTTTTGTTGTAATTGATTTCTAGAATTAGATCGATTTTGAGTTCTATGTTTATGTCTTAACTATGAGCAATATATTTTTGTTTGCTATTTTTTATTTATTTTTTCATGAATAATAAATATTGTAAAAACCAAACAAACAAACAATTGAGAAAAACAAAAACAAAAAAAGAAAAGAATAAAGTTTAATAATAACAATAAAGAAAAACAATGTCGGAAAAGAAATATACCCCTAAAACTACCGTTCTGTTTTATTTCATAACCGATCTATTCATGGATGGATATTACGGTATAATACTAAAAGAGACAAGAGCAACCATCACGCATACACTCAACAAAAATCAAAACATAAAACAATTATTGTGTCAAGTTGATAAATAAATATTCCTTAAACAAGAACAAAAAACAAGATAAATAATAATAATCATAATAAACCAACAATGTTATAGAATAGAATAGAGAAAAACAGTTCACACAAAGAAATAAATTGACTAAAATGAATACGCACACAAGTTTGATCAAGAGATTCTTTTCAAAAGAATAAATAATATTGCCTATGAGTGTCATGTTTCTTCTTCTTCTTCTTCTTCTTCTTCAATGAACAAAATTTTGAAATTTAGAGTAAATATCGAATATGAGCTTTCCTTTCTATCTGTGTACTAACTCTACACTATTTTTTTTTTATTTAGAGAAATATAAAAGAGTTCTTCTTTTACAGGTTTTTTTTTGACTATAAACTTTGACTGTTAAATCGAGAATGTAAACCAAAAAATAAATAATAACTTCATAATTTATCGAACTGTTGTATAAAACACTTTGCCATTAATCGTAAACTGTTAAAAAATTAAACTGCAGTTCGTCAAGATAAGAAAACAAAAACAAAAGAATAATAAAAAGAAGAATTTCATGTTTTGATATTGTTAACACATTTTTTTTCTTTATTTATTTTAAGAATCTTGGTCAACAATTATAAATGAAACGAAAATTTATTGACAGTATACATTTAACTGTGTGCAACACTGTACAAGTACTTTAATAGCCGGTAAATATTGACTTGTTTCAGCAATATTTTCTGCTGCAACCATTTGTGTGTAAATAGTCAAACACGAGTGATAATCACGTTGACGAATATAAGCAATAATTTGATGTATGCCAGACAAAACGGTTGGAGATACCTAAAATATATATTTTCATTATAAAAAACCAAAAAATTATAAAGATATTTCTAAAATGTGTTCAAAATCAATCACTCATAGTATAGAATTAAAATCAGATGTAATCAATAGATAGAGTTTGTCGAATTGATTATTCTAATGTCGAGTAATATTTAGATGAACACTCAACAATAGCAACTAACAGTCGAAATCTGACCACAAGCATCCTTCTAACTTTATAATTTAGTAAATATAAACGTAATTCCATATTGAGAGTCGAGTAACGTGAAGTCCATATCGTTTTGTATGTTGATGCTCACATTTCGACTGTTAGTGGCCGTTGTTAAGTGTCCATCTAAATAGTACTCCATGTTCGAATAATCAACTCGACAAATTCTATCTATTGACTATAATCCTGAAAAAAATAAGTTTTCCTCGGTATTTTGAGGATATTGTTACCAAAAGAACGTATTTCTTTTAAATCTCGTATAGTTTTTCAAGATTTTTTCAGTATTACAAATAGATTTTGAAAAAAGTAATCACATATTCTGATAGAATTTGAAATTCTCTATCACCCTATATATTTATATATTGTCTTGTATTTACTTGCTGAGAAAAAATTTGAATACAGTAAAGGCAACCTACTTTGACAAGTACAAAAATGCACTACTTTTTAGGACTTTTCAAATTATTATTGCTATGGAAATAAATGTTTGCAAAAGTAAATATAGGCTCTGATAGCCCGTGAAATTCTCTATCATTCTATGTATTTATGTCTTGCCTTGCACCTATTTGTCAAAGAATAATTCGAATATTATTTAGGCACCCTAGGTTGCAAACCTAAATAACCAGACCTTTTACTATCTCTTTGGTTTTTATTTCAGATTTATTATCACTATAGAAATAACTTTTTGCACACGCAGTTATATGTTCTGATAGCGCTTGAAATTCTCTATTATCCTGAACTTTTGAACTTAAAAACGAAAGAGATAGTAAAAAAAGTGCAGTTTGTTAGAGTTTTTCAAGGAAGGTGCCTAAATAGTATTAGAATTAGTCTTTGACAAATAGGTGCAAAACAAGACACAAATATATAGAATGATAGAGAATTTCACAGGCTATCAAAATACACAATCACTTTTGTAAAAGAGTGTTCTTATAGCTATAATAATTTGAAAAAAATACTGAAGAAGTAGCGAAAAATATGCACTTTTTTGTACTTGTCAAAGTAGGTTGCCTTTACTGTATTCAAATTTTTTCTCAGCAAGTAAATGCAAGACAATATATAAATATATAGGGTGATAGAGAATTTCAAATTCTATCAGAATATGTGATTACTTTTTTCAAAATCTATTTGTAATACTGAAAAAATCTTGAAAAACTATACGAGATAACAATGATTGTATTAAATGTGTGGAAATGAGGTACTGAGGGTGTGTTCACTTCATTGGAATAATTTTTTTACACAGTGATCCAAACAAAAATAAAAATGTACAGGATGATGTAAAATTTCACGGGCTTTCAGAATATATCGTTACTTTAAAAACAAATACGTTCTTTTGGTAACAATATCCTCCAAATACCAAGGAAAACTTATTTTTTCCAGGGGTATATATCAGATTTGAATTATGTATTATGAATGGGTACTAGCACATTTTACAAATACTTAAATTATGAAGTCTAAATGAAAACATTAATTTCAAACAACAAACTATTAACCATTGTGGAAGTAAGTTAATTTTTTTTATCGAAAATGATATGTACTGATTCAATTTTAGCATACGAATGTAATGTTGAAAATTCATAGGTTTTAAACTTATTAATCACAATTATGATAATTTACATACTCTATTTTCTCTCAATTTATCGTATAATATTTGTAATTTTTTGTTAACATCGTCTAATTTTCGTTTTAACGGTAATTGTTGTGTTGCCTGAAGACATTGTTGAACAAGTATATCGAATATATCTTGAATTATTTGATGTTCACTGGGTAATTGAGCTTTCACAATAGGTGCGGGTGGTGGAGGTGGTTGCGCAGGAGTAGAATTAACTGGATCCGGTTGTACTGATTGTGGGTAGGAATTCGGTGGTATTGTTCCATGTTGAGAATAATTAGTTAAATGGTGTGGAGGCTGTTGTTGTTGCTGATTGCTAAAATTAAACGGATATTCTTGAGGTTGATATGGATTTATTGATCCGGGCAAAGGTTGCATAATAGCTTCGGGTGCCATAGGATGTTGAGCCTAAAAATATACAATTTTCATGTAGAGATATATAACATTTCTTTCGAATTCAAAAATGAGAGATCTTGATTTAAATGTCAATAATAAGGTGTTGTGCTAGCTGAAAAGCTTTTGTTTGTCAGAAATAGTTTGTATTAAACCTTGTAAGGCGACTGTGAGTGGTATGAATATCTATTTTACTTTTGGTTGAACAGCTTTTTGTTTCATCATCACATTTGGCGGATCGTTCCATGGAACTGATGGTGGATGATAAACTACCGGTGGTGGCTCGATTGGATGATCTAGAAATAGAAAAAATATATGAATAGCCAATTAATCTAAATAATTTCATTGTGACTTACTAGAAACACTGTTATTTGTACCCATTGGCGTCAGTGTTGGTATAGTTGCTGGTGGTTGATAAGGCTGATAGGTTGGTATTGATGGTGGGGTTGGATATCTACTCAAATAATGATAAGATTTAGTAACTATCGAAATTTTTCCTGATACAGTGATGTTAGAAAAATATTCAATTTTTTTTTTAGAAAACTGTGTGCCGCTTATCAAATCTAAGATATATGTGATTTCAACTATTTTGTACCGACCGTATACACAAAGTTGACGCTTTCTAAACTGTTAACTGTCACGTAGGTTTTTTAATTACTTAATATTTGATGTTTGTCTCATATTTGCTTCGTTTGTTGGTTGTTGTGGTGGCCAATTAGCGTTTGTTGGAGGAGCCTGTGTTACAGAATAAACAGGTTGTGCCGGTTGATCAGGTGGTTTGAAAAAATTAAAATTTCCGGGAGTCGGAGCAGGATTACTATTTGATGGTACATAATTCATTGTCTGAGAAAGAGGAGTAACAAGAGGTGGTTGATAATTAGTATACCCAACAGATGGAGAAACGTTTGACATATGTTGTTTTGAAACTGAATATTGGTCAAACGGGCGTGTAGTACGTGGAATATCGACAGATTCACGTTTAGTTGTTTGTACTTTCTGTTGTTGTGCAGTTGAAAGAACATCAATTTTCCTATATGGACATGGAGGTTTTGGAATTCCAACTTGTTTATCCAATGGTAATCCATGATAAAGACGATCACGTAACACAAGCAATTCAGGCTGAAAAGAGTAAATAAATTGTTCAAATATTTAGTATTTACCACAAAATTTTATATATCATACCGTTTGCAAATTTCCTAGATACTTTAATGCTGCTTGTGTATAACCTTCATTGGCTAATAATTGTGCATATTTTACTAAATGTTTACTGATCGATGGTCCACTTAAACCATCAAGAGCTTGTACTGGTTGTGAATATTCAAGAGAACGTTTAAGAATAAAAATTTTTTCAATTAAAATTTCTAATTGTTTCGAATCATTTTCATCAAAATGATGACTCAACGAATAACATTGATCAAATTTTTCTAAATTTCCCATTATTATATAACAGATACATGCATACGATTTTAGCGTTGGCTCTTGACCTAATTTTAATGCTAATTCTTCACATAATTGTACAAATGTATCGTCACTCGTATATGTCAAAAGTGCTACTAAAATTTCACGCCAATTACTAATGTTATTTGTTTGAATCAAACGTTTATAATCTTGATGGAGAACAATGTCAATTAACTAAATATAAGGAGAAAAACAAATTTAGATAGTCATTTTAGAATTTAAATCAAAAATCATTCTAATATGTTTCAAACTAAAGGCATATTGGTTTAAAAATTAAAAAGTTGATATTCTAAAAGAATCTATGCTCCCTCACATGATACATCTAAAATTCTACAAAATAATTTTAATTTTAATTGAACTTACTTTTGTTGTGTATGAATGAACTTTTGTAAAATATCGCTTTTGAGTTTTATAAAGAAGATCTTGTCCTCCTAAATTTGCCAATAATATTGCGTCTGTATAACGTTGTTCATGAAAACATAAATCAACAGCTGATTCAAAATTTCCAGTCATAATACATCGGCTTAAGACCGCTTCCACTTCTAAAACAGAGAAATTAATCACTATCAACAACATATACATTAATATAGTATGTGTAGATCTTATAAAAGAATTTTTTCTTAGAATAATCACTTCATTGATAAATTTTCCTTCAAAACCTCGATAAATAAGATTAAATAATGAAATTCTTGCCCATTATCTTTAACCTACCAATATTAGCTCCCATAGCAGGCGTACTTCTTCCATGTGCTTGTTGTATATCAATAGTAGGTGTGGTTTTTCCACTGATGTTATTATTTAATTGTAAATTATGCATTGTATCATGTAGATCATCATTTACTTTTACTGTTTTAGTCATTAAATTGTTTACTCGATTAACTAACTCATCTTGCTTAAATCCTAATAATTCAATATATGTTCTTTTTTGTTCTCGTTCAAAACTACCACGAATAAAACGCCACAGAATTAATTCATCACTTGCGCGACTTGTTGAAATTTTATGGTCACAATATTCTATTAATGTTCCCGTTTGCAATACTTTATCAAATGTTTGAACACTCTGAATAAATTGTTTATCAACAGTTACTTGAGAAATAACGACTAATCGACGAGGTGGTGGTTGAGTAGTTGAGGGTATTGTACCATCAACAACATTTGCAGAAGATGAAGATGCATTTGCTACAGTAGATTGAACAACAATAAGTTTTCCACCAAACTAAAACAAATAGAAAATAATTAGCTAAATTCATTTAAGCAATTTTAAAGACTAATGTTTGTGTTCTCGTACCGCAAATGTAACTCTTGCTTGTCTTCTCATCCATTTGGGAGCATATTTAATGGGTGCCACATTTTGAACCGTTGGAAGTAGAGTTTGTGGTTGAGGTTGTTGACCCGTTAATGGACCACCTCCAAAAAGTTCATGATCTAGAAAATTTCCCTGTGTTCCATTACCAAAGGCCTGTGTGAATAATTGATTATTAGCCGGTCGTGATATTTGACATGATCCACCCATAATTGTATAGATACTTAATGTACCATCGAATGATGCCGCAGAAATTAAATTTGGATCAGCTATAAAAAGAAAGAAAGAAGAAAACTGTTTAAAAATAAGACAAAACAATGTTTCCTCGAATCTATTACCTAGACACCATTTAACATCGAAACACCAATGACTACACGGAATTTCATAGACAATTTCAGACATCACACCCAAATCATTCGGATTCCAACACAAAATTTTATTATCCTTTCCACTACTCATCAATAAATTACCATCATTTGGACACCATTGTAAATCAAGTACACCTCTAAAACAATAAAATAAAATTATTATAAAAATTACTCAAATCATATGACTCAATAATCTCAAATATGGAATCTATTTGAATTGATGTTGATCAACATAATTGAAGAATTCAGCTACATCGTTTTCTCCTCACAAAATGAAAATTTTGTTTTTTTCAGCTAAACATAAAAGATTTGAGCAATAATTTCAAATTTACTGACCTACTATGTCCACTTAATAATTTCATCGGAGATGCACCATATCGTAAATCCCACAACTGAATAGCGGATGAATCTTCTTCTGATGCTAGACACAATTGACTAGTAATCTCTGGATGCCATACTAAATATTTTGATCTCATACGATAAGTTGAATCGGATATTTTAAATATTGGCTCTGCTGAACGTAAATCCCATATTAAACTAGAATAAATACAAACATAATAAAAGAGCAAATAAATAATTATTTAGATATTTACCATTTTCCTCCTAGTGTGCTTCCTAATATTTGTGGTTTTTGTTTATTCCAACCCACACATTCAACATCGTCTCGTTGTTGTTTATCTCTATTTGAACCTCCCGGTATCATTGGTTTAGATAAATCATTTAAATCCCAAATCATCAATTCAGAATCAGATGAACCAGATGCAAATAAATTTTTTTCAATAGGATTTACATCAATTGTATTCACACTACCACTATGTTGATCTAGTTTTGATTTTATTGCCGAATCATCATGAGAAAAAGGATCAACAAGATAAATAGAACCTTTTTCAGTGGCACAAATTAAAAGATTTTCAGACGATGGAAAATGGGTCCAAACCAATTTTTTGAATCTAAAAAAACAACAACAAATCGTAAGATAGCACAAACATCGACGTTTTCTGCTTTTTTCTGTTCTCTTCTTTTTTACACTGTTTCCTCGGAGAAAAGTACTGCATTTTTTTTTCAACAATGAATAGATCTACAAATATAATGACTCGTTATGTGTAAACTAAGTTGAAATGAGACCATACGTGTGACTCGGCACTAGGACTAATTCAAGCAGTTGTTAAAACATCAAATTTATTGCATCTTTTTACCTATGATCCGTTTTGATTGATGAAAGTGGTGTCATTGCTGTACTTCTATCAGCCATATTTAATTGAAATAATTCTAACGTGGAATTTGTACTATAAAACGATGAAATAGTTATGTAATATGAAGTCTAAAATGGAAGGTATTATTGTATACCTGAATGATGCATCGAGTTGTTGAGCAGCTGTACCAGCCACAAGATATATTGGTTGTTGATTAGCTGGAGACCAAGCCACATGGACAGTTCGATCGATTTCTTTTAATTTCATTTTGACAAATTATAATAAAATATCTAAAAAATCAGCCATAAACGTCAATAGGACTTAGTCTACATATTAAAGTATATGAAATAAAACTATGAACATACGAACTAAATTTTTGCACTATTCGTCTTTCTTTGCGCTAAAGAAACAATTCAGATTGACATTGTAAAGTTTACAGTCATTGTTAAAAGAATAAAAGACGTATTGTTTGTTATTGTTTTATTAATAATTTTTATTGCTAAAATATATCGATAAGTTGATAAATGCATAACAAATAAAATGTAATATATAAAAAAATGAATAATTTCGTTTTTTTTTTTGTAAAATGTTCACAAGTGAGTTTTCGATATCGAAAAAAAAAAACAAAAAACAAAATAATTACAAAAATAATAAAAATAATGATTTTATTGCACTTAGAAAAGTTTATAATTTATTCGACATACAAAATATGACACATATATCTTTAATTAAAAAATAGCACCACAAAAACTACATCGTCGTTGACGAAATGCCCAACAACATATTAAACCAATTGGAAATAAAAATACTGCACAAGAAATTCCAACACATGTAAAATCAGTATCCAATGTACCCGTTTTACATACTGGACAAGTACCTATAGTAATTACATTTGTGTTTGGCATCATTTGTGACGATGCAGAATAATTTGTGACGACAGGTCCAATATTTGAATACTGATTCGTAGTTGTTGTTGGAAATTCACCCACAAAGGTTCCATAACTATCACTAGTAGTTAATGCTTATGATTGAAAGAATAGAAAATGTAAAAAATAATTTTTGCAAATACAATGCGAAAGAACTATTACCAGAGTTTTGTGATAACATATCATTATAGGAAGATGGAGAAATTTCATTTTCAACGAGTTTCTGTTGATCATTTGACATCTAAAAAATACAAACATAACGATACAAAATAACATCAAAATAAACCTGTTCCAATGAATAAAGTGAGTTTTCAAAACAGTTTTCAAACAGAAATACAATTACTTTTAATTGTATTTCTTACACTGACATTATTTCATGACATAAGAGTTCGCTTCTGAATACAGTTCATAAAGGAATAATAAAAATAAAAATAAAAAAGCAAGTATCACACACACAAAGAAAAACCTTTTACATTTTATTTTGCTGGACAAAAAACAAATAGTATGCCATTTCATATGTATTCTATATGAGAAACAAACACAAAAATAAATAAATGTAACAACGTGGACTATTTCTTTTATACGGTTTACCACGTCATTATTTACTTTTTTTATAATCCATGTCGTCAAAATTGCCTAACTTTTACCGATTAATCGCGACTTTTCTGCAGTGTTTCTATGATATCAAGCTAAAAATATTCATTTGCAATTAATCGACAAAAGTTAGGCGATTTTGACGACATGAGAAGTCATCAAACTCTTAGAGAATGATTATAACTTTCGCACATGTACCAAAATTTCTTTTATACACCATTTTACATTTTTTGACGCTTACCGCTATTTTGTAGGAAAACAGAGTGACACTATATCTCCAAAATCTCACTACAAACATTGCATTTCAGTGCTATACTTATTAAGCAACGAATGATAAGTAGACTGATAATTTAATATTGTTATCAAATACCAAAAATTCACTGTTCAATGAACAAAATATAATCATACTCATTTAAGTATACATTATCGCTTTATCTTATCTGAGTGATTATGAAGAAAAAACGAGATAATGGTCCGGTTAATTCTCTATGAACAAATCTTGTTCAAAATAAGCAAAATGTCAGACTTAGATAAAAACTTTCTAACAAATACAATTAAGCGATCGACTTGACCAAAGAAAGCGACGCTATCCTCTCTAAATATTGGTAACTGTTCAGCTCAACAAACTACTTGACTTGTGAGAAGAGCACATTTTACAGGACGAAAACCATCTCAAAAGAGAAAACATCGCCGTAGTAATATGAAACATCAATCACTAACCTGAGTCAACTGAGAGTATAAATTTTATGATCAATAACGTTGATAATTCAATAGAATGTGTACATTTTTTTCAACATTCCTCGCCTTTCGCGCACACGTCGATCGATCGATTGATGATCGTTAAAAGATATTTTCAATCGATAACCACTCATTGCCACGTCTCAAGGCGCCCTTCAAGTTCAGATTAAGAACTGATACGATATCTCAAGAATTTTGAAGTCAAAGACTGACCCAAAAAGTCGTTCGAAACTGTCCAGAATCCTGGTCACCAACTGAAATTATCGATCTGCCGTCATCGATCATCGAATTACTAACTGTTCACATCACATAGAATACGTTGAACACGTAGACTGTTTTGTAGACATAGTTGATTGGCTTAGGGTACCATAACTGAAGTTCACAAGAACTTCCTAATAGAGATCACAGATACGAGAGAACATATATTTTATAACATTATTATTTTAATTAATGTCTCGCTCTTAGTGGAAATTTCGTATGAGTTTGCACTTTCCCGTACTATACTAGGATATATATAGATATAGAATCGATAGCAGCGTTCTCATTTCTCTCTTCCATAGTGTATGGTGTATAGTATGAGGGAGAAAGATAAGGAAGTTCGAGTTATTTTAGTTTCGTGTCTCCGTACGATAGAATATTCCATTGTATTCTGCTTTATTTTTTCCTTTAGCTTCACATAGTAGCCACGAGCAACGTGAATTGACGTAGATTGTCGTTTTAAAATTATTATTGAAGATAAGAGAACACAACGATTATTCTTTTTTACACCTTTTACAGGCTCAAAACTTATCAATAAATATGTTCTGAAAGAAAAAACAAAAAAAGAAATACCGTATCATATGTTTTTCATGGTTTTGTAATTTTTTGAAAAAAATTCACTGTCTGATCACATCATTCATCGCAATGGGTCAAATTGGCTTTTTCGAATGTGTTTATCGTATTATTGTTGCTTTTATAAGAGCAATAGTCTTCTCAGTATTCCCAGCGCCAAGAAAATCGATAAGAAATGAAATTGTCCTTATAACTGGAAGTGGTGGAGCATTAGGACGATCATTAGGTTAGTACAGATCGGGACTTTTCGTGTGCGCCTGATAAGCTTTTTTTCTGCTGTTTTAGCAATTGAATTTTCGAAATATGGAGCATTTCTTTGTCTGTGGGACAACGATGATATGAATAATCAACAAACGTATCAAGAATTATACAATGAATATGGCCACAGAAGAATGGTCTGCCAAAAGGTGGACATAACGTGCGTGTTCTTCCATGAAAATTCCTAATTTGTTCTTTGAAATTGCCGAACAGTGTTGCACCAATAGAAAGTTTCCCATAAGACACCGTACATCTTTTTTCTAAGATGTAATTTACCTAAAGGACGGACTGAGACCGTTTGAACAAATCTTTTAGATTTCAACTACTAGTCTATGGAAATCGAGAACTTGAGATTCTATTCTTTAGCAACTTTTTTATTGAAGAAATGTTAATTTTCAATTATTTTACCTCTTGTGATTAGAAACCCAGACGAAATTCGTAGAGCGGCTGAAAAAATTCGCCATGACATTGGAAATGTTAGCATTGTTGTCAATAATGCGGGTATGTATTTGGCGAATGAAAATTGATTGAAAAAATTGATTTTTTTCTTCTTTTTGTAGGTGTTGTGGCATGTAAAAATGTTTTGGATGTAGATGTAGAAGATATTCGAAAGACATTTGCTGTTAATATTCAATCACACTATCATGTAAAAGTTTTACACATTGGTTTTGATTGAACGAAATGAAATTTTCTCTTTCTCTTCCAAGATTAATCAACAATTTTTGCCAGCAATGATCGATCGTCATTTTGGGCATATTGTGGCAAGTATGTTGATACTAAAGTAGATCCAGCGGTTTAGGAAGAAGATTTATCTGTAGAAGAAGTAGGAATGTTACAGCTATCATTACTTTAGTTACCAAGTAACTTTAAGACTATCGTTACCTTCAGCTACTTTCCAAGTTATTCTTCAGTTCCTTCCGAGTTGGTTTTGAGAGCGTGTCAGATGTAATGGTAATTTCATTGTTACTAATCACTTGGTAACTGACATAATAGTACACATGACAAACTGACCGAAGAAACTGTTTGTTGAAATATTACCAAACTCAAGCAGAGTATTCACACCTCTTCGAGTAGATGTGAATGATTTATTTATTTTTTAGTTGGAAGTAACTGTGGTTTGTTTGGATTATCCCATTTAAGTGATTATTCCGCATCCAAATTTGCGTTACTGGGTAAGCAACAGAAAAAATACTCTCGTAATATCTATGCACTTGAGAAAACATAGATGATTAGACAGTAGCTCGTTTTTAAAAGTAAATACGATGGCTCACGAGTATAAGTTCGTGGATTCGATTCTATCATTCGTATAAATGTGATTTCTATTCTTTTTTCGATCTGTTCTTCTTCTATGTTCTACGTAACAATAGTTGATTAAGCATAGTAAACTAGTTTTTAATATTGTCGTATATAAAAGAATATGGAAGAGAAAAACACAATGTTGTGAGTGAAAATAAGCTTCTGGAGATTTGTTTATTTGACTCTATATTTTTGTGAGAGTGGTTAAAAATATGCATTACTCAAATATTAACATTTTTATACATCTTCTAGGATACATGGAGTGTCTAGAAGATGAAATTTTTCGTTCGAAATGTCACGGTGTTCATGTAACAATTGTCATCAGTGGTCCAATCAGAGGTGGTCTGAATAGAAAAGTCACAGAAATAGTCATGTTAGTAAAAGTGAAATATTGATTTTTCAGGTTATAAATGGTTTCTTTTAATTTTTTAGTCCTGAATCTGTTAATTTTATGTCACCCAAAGTTGTAGCACAAAAAATAGTACAGGTGAAACAGTTAAATACTGCTTGCTACTGGTTAAAATGACACATATTTCTATTGAAGGGTGTTATAACAAATCAAAGATTTTTATATATTCCAAAATGGTATCGTTTTCTCGAATTTATGAAATCTTTTTTACCATATGATGCATTTAAAGCTATTCTACACTATGTCCTTAACGTCAATGATCCAAATTTAAAACGTAATCGTCCACGTCCAGTGAAAACCTAAGCAATATTTTTTTGTTCCGAATCATATCATAGCTAAGTGCGGCAATAAGTCAGGTATTTCGTCTTCTTCTATATTTTTAGACTTGAATTTCTGTGATTTGTATTTGTTTTCTTTGTTTGTTTGTTTATTGTTCATGTGTTATAATCAGATATTTTTCTATCCGATAACTGTATAATTTTACAACGATGTGATTATCTTTCTTGTACATCTTTATCAGTATTATTTACTGTGGTGTGTTTTGTTATTTTTTACATATGTGATTAAATTTATACTCTCATACCAACTATATTTTACATACTCATTTAAAAAAAAAAAGATAGTTATATAATTGAGAAATTCATATAATACAATCTTCTCTCAGTATTATCATATTCTTGTCAAAGTTTGATTCTACAAGCCTTTTTCTCCATAGCAATAGTTAACAATGAACTTTCATGATTACTGTTATAAACTCTCTTAAAATAGTCGATGGAAATTGTTGATTTAAAGCGTAAATATTCACAATATGAACGTTGTATTCAGATTATTAATTACTCTTTGTTTAGATTAACATGATATCAGTTCGATTATATGCTTATTGAGCATTATTATTTAATAATAAATCTACATTTAATTCCTATTATAATCAATTTAGTCTTTTCTTAGTATTTATTTTCTCATTTATTTTTATACAAAATTATTTTCATTATCAAAAAAATTCTATTTATTAAATTATAATAACGAAAACGTATTATTTTGCAGTCAATACTCTACTCTTATCAGATCCATCGAATTTTTTTGAGATACATTGACGTGATTAATAAACTTATGTTTTATTAGTGTTGAAATATCGATTATATATACGTCGTCCTTGAACAAATAATATCAAAAATGAATAAATATAAACGATTACCACTTATTGATCGAGAAGAAGAAGAATTAGTAGATCTTAATAAAAAAACGGAGAAGATAAATGACACTGTGTTTGATTATAGTTCAATAACAAATTTTCAATCAGCATTTTCTTATTCTAAACAATTAAATAAAGAAAATCATTTATATGCCTCTGTCGGTAAGAAACGGTGATTATCTGAGTATACAAAAGAAAAAGAAGAACATTGTCTTACAGATCAAATATATTAGAATTATTCGATTTTTCTCATACGAGAAAAATAGTAAACATTTTTTTAAAGTTTTTATATGCTTAATCATTTGTGTTGTTTAGAAAAACGATCGTTGGCTGGTTTAGAAAAATTTATTCATTATTTTGTTGTAATGATTTGTGTTCTATTGATGTTAGCATTATTACCATTTTCATTAATTTTTGCCATTAAAGTAAGATTAATTCTTTTTCTAAAAAAATATTTGTTATTTAATTATAAATTGTTTACTTTTTAGCATATTCGTTCAGGTGAAAAACTTGTTGTTTATCGACTTGGACGTGTGCAACATCGTCCGAGAAATAGTGGTTGGACGATTGTATTACCATTTATTGATTGTATTAAACGAATTTCAACAAAGACAAATCAATTGATTATTTCACCAATTCAGGTAGTTATGAGAATATCTTTTTAAAAGAAATTATAGTATTTGACTAGATAAATTTATAAATTTAAATACAATAAATCAACTCGACCAATATTTTAATTATTAATAGTTGAAAAGTACTTATAAGTGTATAGAAGTGATCGAGTGTACAACTGTTTTCATATAAATACTGTGATACAAATGATAAATAAAAATATCTATGGCATAGTTAATTAAATAATTGACTATAATTTTATGATTTTTCTCATTAATTCTTAATGTTTTTATTTTAGATATTATGTCGTGATGATTCAATTCTTGAAATAGGTGTTTGTATTGAATATATCATCAATGATCCGATACTTGTCTTGAATAGTTTACACGATTTAAATCATTCTTTACGCTCTTTATCTCGTTCAACATTAATTACATTTACATCACAAAATAATGGAACAAAAATTGAACAAAATATACATATGATTGAATTAAGCATGAAAGTAAGAATAAATAAATACATTAAATGTTAAACTATTGACAAAATATTGATCTTTTATTATAGAATGAAATTAATCAAACAGCAAGAAATTGGGGTATTGAAATTTTAAAAGTAAACATGTATGTATCAAATTTAATAATTACGGCTGTTTTTAGCTGTTGCATAAGCCATTTTATGTAAACTTCCAAGGACAGATCCGATTTTCGAAGAAAATAGGAGTTTAAGGTTTAAAAGAGAGGTCCTTGGAGTAAAAATGGGTCAATCAGAACATCAGATATGGTTCTTCCCTGGTATTTACATCGTCTTAATTTTCTTCCGATGTGTGTTTACATCGGCTGAAAGGCGTAGTTATGCAGTCTTAATTTGATGAGTTAGTAGTGGAAGTTCTAAATTGTAACTGAATGCCGTTGTTTTGATAGTAATAGCTATCGCCTCATCTATTTACTTATCGACAAGGCGGTACTAGTGAGTGTACTATTTAGGTATAAAAAAATGTGTTATCTTGTCTCTGTTTGTTTGAAATTTATTATCATATTTTATATAAAATAACAGAGGAAAATTTTTGTATGAATTCAATTCATTATAAATAAAATTCAAGTTCTTCTACGCTACGCTCTCTTTTTCTGATCTCTATTGTAGTGATGAAGTTTTCACATTTTTGCTCTAACGGAGCGACGCTAAGAAGCTTTTTTACGGTTTAAAAACGTTTCAAATAGGAGCTACTTCTGCATAACTGAACCGAAAACGTGATTTTGTAACTTTTTGTGCAATTCATATCTTCCGAAGGGAAAGACGTCCGAAATTCCTCCCATTTTGCAAAGAAAAAATATTCTTAACAAAATAGCAGATCTCAGAACCTTCTAGGATTCTCGGTTATAGAAGTATATTAACAAAACATAGACATACACTGTTTAAAATAAGAAAATTTTTTAAGAATAACGTTGAATATTTTAATCATACTATCTTCTTAACGAATGATCTTAGCGAGCTTTGAGATTTGGCATTTTTGTTTTGAGCATATTTTTCTTTGTATAATGAGACAAGTTCCAGACATCTCTCCATTGGGAAGATATGAATAGCACAAAAAATACGAAATCACATTTTCGGTTGAGTTATGTGAAATGACCCATAGACAAATATCCAAGTTACTTGATATTTACGTTAAATATTCTATTTATAGACTATATTCAATTGTTATTTGTTTTAGTGCGCGTGCAACGATAATTTCGACTGGTGAAGAAAATCCTCATAAATCATTTCATCCGGCGTTAGATGCATTTTCGAAAATATTTGCTGGTATTATTCAACAATCATCCACTATGGATGCTAACAATCCAACGCCTGTTACTGGTATGCATCGAAATAAAAGGATTAATTTCATTTAATAAAATATGTCTCTTCTTACTCTAGTTCCTGGAAGTGTTAATACATCTAAACCGGATACAATATCCGTTTCATCAATTCTATCACTATTACTCGTACGTCTGAGACATGTGTTTAATGAAGAACTTGTTCGTCAAGTCGGTGCAACATATCAATTTAATATTGGTGATATGGCAAAATTTTATATTGATTTAAAAAATGGTAATTTTCTTTTTTAAATTTGAACATTTTTTTTTGTTTCTACTACTATACGCCATTGCTATTTTGATATACAGAGTTTATTTGTATATATTACAGGAAATGGTTCATGCGATCTTGGAGATTTACCAGCACGTGTTGTTGATGTAACAATTACTTTGAACAGTGTTGATGATTTAAAATTATTAACGGGCGATACAGATGAAATTATTCAAGCTTATTTAAGTCAACAAATAACAATTGATGGATCGTTAACTGATGCCATGAAATTAAAGCATTTAGCTGATGTATTAAAAAAAGACAATATAACACTACTAAACAGTGTCAAAAATAGTCATGACTAATTCTGATATAAATGTATTATTTTTTAATTTTTATTGCTTTTTGTAATTATATGCTTTGTATGTACAATATCAATATAAGTTGTAATTTTATGTTTCATAATGTTTTTATTTAGCGGTAATGAAAGACAATCTATCGGTTTTTTAACGAGTTATTCGATAGAATATCATTTTAATCTTTTATTTTAGATAAATCATCATGCTAAATGTTCTTTTATCTAAATCTATCGCTCATATTCGTTTGTTTACCGAAGATTTAACTCGTCTAGCAGTGTATCTAATTCAGCAGCATTCATTTCCACCATCTTCAACACATGTCTATGATATTCTACCATCTAACTCTACATCATTGACAACTCGCACCCCATTAACGTTACAGGATATCTTACCTGATATGTCCATATTACTAACTCAAAAAAAACGTGCAACAATCGAACGACGTCGTATTCGTCGTCACAGTGATTTACCAATGAATCTTATGGTTCGATTAGGTACACCACGAAATGATTTAACACAATGTTTAGATTGTGGCTCATGGCATGAGAAAAAGACAATTTGTGGTCAATGTTATGATCGTATACGAAAAGAAACGGAATCAATGAAACAAAATTTAAATCAAGATGAATTTAAATATAATCATCCACAACAAGAAATTGTTTATTTATATAAAGGTGAAGAAGAACAACGACAATATCATGAAGGAAAACGTATTATTGAAATTCCAAGAGAAAGACCACAATGGTTTTCAAAAAGTCTTATACCACGAATAAATACAACAAAATAAATATTTTCTTTTCTAGTTTTTACATATTGTTTGTAGATTTTGTTTAAATATAAAGCAAAAATAGGCAATTTTCATGTGTTTTTTCTTTGTCTCAAGACGTAATGCTAATTTAAAACTTCATAAAAATAAACTGGCATTAATCCATTTTACTGTCTTACCAGAAGACACTGTTTTGTTGTACTTTAGAGAATATTTTATCAAAAATTGAAAAGGGTGGGCTAGTTAATAAAGCTAGACGAGATGGGATAAATAATCCAATTTATAATTTTCTTGCGTAAAGTGTAAGTAATTAAACGATTATTTGCTTTTAAAATGAATAAATTCAATAGAAATTCCACATATTTAAAGTAAATAACTTGTTGTTCTTCGCTCAGAACATTAATGATTAAAATTATATAAATGTAACTGTTATAAAGTAAAGATATACGTTTTACGAGGGAAGGTTCCCAAGTGCGATCCTCAGTTTCGAATGAGATACATACCAGTTTGTAGAGCTCGACGAGCTGATTACGATGGCAGAAAACATCTTTCCCCATGGCTATTGAAGATCCGGTTTTCAGTTTTTCAGAAACTCTAAAAAATAACCCAAACCTTTCTTAATGAGGCATTATTGTAGCCCACAAATTTCTGATTAAAATGAGACATATCCCAGCTCTAAAATGCTCTTTCTTTGCAAAGTTATACAATTTACAAGAAAAGCCCTAAATGTTCATTGTCAGCTCAAAGCTACAAAAATAAGAAGAAATTAATTTAGCACTTTTCTTGTAAATTCTATAACTTTGCAAAGAAAGGTCATATAGAGCTGGGATATGTCTCATTTGAATCAGAAATTTGCGGGCTAGAATTACGCCTCATTAAGAAAGGTTTGGGTTATTTTTAGAGTTTCTGAAAAACTAATTTTTCAGAAAACCGGATCTTCAATAGCCATGGGGAAAGATGGTTTCTGCTATCGTAATCAGCTCGTCGAACTCTACAAACTGGTATGTATCCCATTCGAAACTGAGAGTCACACTAGGAGGACCTTCCTTCATTAGTAGAAATGCCTAATTTAAAAATAAGTAAGTTTTATCTTATGATTTCTATTATAATCTTCGATATTTAACAGTATTTTGATTTACTTCTTATACTTTTGAGCATAATTACTCTACTAATTTCCACTAAAAAAATAAAAGAGAAATTTAAATGAGTATATTGGCTATACGAATGACTGCCGATGCTGTTTGACCTTAGAGGCCAGGCCAATCAAGAAAATATACTGTTCATTAAAGGATTATTTGAGTACATTCCGTCTATACTTTTTAATTATTACATTAATAATCTAAAATGTATAATAGAATTGAATAATAATTACCCCATACTTTTTAACACGTGTTATTATATTCACACATTATTTGAATATAATGGGAATGTGAACTATTAAAAGTGTTTCTATTTGCTTTTTTTAACATAAATTTTTATAAAAAAAAAAAAAAATTCATATCACACTTAGAAAGATGACTTAAAAATGAAGAATGTTGTTGTTATTCTTAGAAAACTTTTATATTCTATTTTATAAAAAAAATGTTCGTGTTAACTCCTTTTATAAGAGAGCAGACATCATGTTACTAATAATGATCTACCACAGTAGTTCATTAGACTACGTTTTATTAACAGTTTCACTATTGAGAAGTATATGTGAACTACACTAGTATTCAGTCAATTGTGTTTGAATCCGTTTTTTTTTCTTTTACCGACATATATTTTAGTGATCAAGTTTCCATTTCTTGACGCATGATCTTTTGTACCTTGTGTCGGATATCTTTATCTTTCTCAAGACGTATGAAATAATTTTTGTTAAAAAGAATTTCGTCGTACTCTATGTTTCGATGCTGTAGGTACGGCTTATTGACCTTTTACTGATTTAGACGTGCATTTTTGTTTGTTTGCTCAAGCACTCAAGACATTCTGATATTTTTGCGTATGGTTAAAATTATTTCTCTCATATTATAATGTAAATTTGCATGCTTCAGTATGGATGCACTAGAATTTATTTAGGTCCTTCACATACTTCTCTATTTCTCGATGACTTTCTCATCATTGTTAATGCAAACCGATCAGTATCTGTTAAAGAAAATCAATCAGATAAAAAAAAAAGCAATAGAATTTTTTGAAAACACACATTTGTAAAAATAAAACTGAAAATAATTTAATTTTCTGTACAAAAATCTATCTTTCTTTTTATTGCTCTCTTCCAAAGTACAAATACTTTCTATCTATCAGATTGTCCATTTTACAATTGTAATTTTTTTCCTTAATAAAAACGAAACACATGGGACGGCGTAAACTCATCAATCCGTTATTTAGTCTTAACTTAAAAGGAGTCAAATGTTCTCTATTTTTAAAATATTTTTAGTTGATTTGAATGTCCTTTCTCGTCTTTTCGATATTTGTAATGAATTTTACATTATGATGTTCAAGAAAAATTTAGAAACAAAAGAAAAGAGAAAAAAATAAATTAGTATTTTATAAAAAAAAAAAAAAATAGCAAAATATTCTAAATTAAGTTGACAGTTTGTTGATTAAAAAAGAAAACGAAACATTGTATCCAAAGTGTGTTTCACCGGGAGACACACACGCTGCTGTTGTTTTTCTAAAGAAGCATCAATTTATAGTGCTTTTTAGTTTGCACTTTCAACTACAGATAGTGCTCTTCTCTTATGCACAATTTTTCAAATAGTCAAGGAATAGAGAAGAACAGTGTGAACGTTATCTCTTCTCATAATGACAGACTATAGAATCAGTACATATCAATTGGGCTTAGATAGAATAATAAGAAACAGATTTGAAAGGAGAATGTTTACTTATTATTAATTATACGATTATAATTGAGAATGAGAATGTCTTTTATAAAATTCGTAGACATTTGTATCTGGCATTGTATCTCGAATACGTTGTAATTGATCAAATAAATGATTATCTTCTTCATCAATATTAACAATTGCTCTTGGTAAATTTTCCATTAATTGTTTATAATTGAGTAAATATTCAATTTCTTCTTTACCTTCTTCTTGAATACATGAACTAGATGCAAATAGTATATGAAGAAGAGATGAAGTTTTAGTATTAATACGATTATTTTTCACTTGATTTTTACTAGTTGATCCAGCATATGTATAATGTGATCGACAAAATTCTGCTGTTGAACAGTCATCATCATCACCACCACCATTAGAGTTAAATTCATCACCACTTTTTACTGATATACGAGAAATTTTGTGATTAGGTGTTCGATTTTCAGTTCTTTTTGATTTTGGTGATTGTTGAGATAATTTTAATTTTGTTTTGGATCGTTGTAATTTAAATTGAATATCATCATTGGAATTTTGTTGTTGTTCGTGACAATGATAATTATGAAGATTTTTTTCCGTATTCATTCGAGTAATATCTCGTGGTGTATAATGAATAATAGTTGTAGCTGATTTTTCATAATTTTTTTTTGATGCAAGATGAAGTACAGGATGTTTTGATGAATTAGTTTCATCTGTATCATCTTCATTTTCTTCGTCACTACTTTCACTTTCATCTTCATCTTCATCTTCATCCAGTGTTACACTACAAATAAATGATCTTCGTTGTTGTAATGGTGGTGGTGGTGGTGGTAGCACTGATTGTACAGTATTTACTCTTGAATTTTGAATATTAAATATAGAACGTGATGGTTGTGATTTCGGCTGTTTTATTGTATTCTTTTGTTGTTTTTTATTTTTAAATTCATTTATATCTCTAAATTTTATATCCAATGATGTTCGATATTCTTTTTGATGTATTGTTTGTGTAACTATTTTCTTATTATTATATTGTGAACATTGACTAGATATACTTGAACCAATTCCACTTTCTACCGTCGGTAATATTTGAGATTCAGTTGATGTACTTGATCGTTGTTGTTGTTGTTGTTGTTGTTGGAGCTGTAGATCAGAATTTAACTGTTTTTGCTGTTCTTGAGCAAGAAAATGTTTCATCTTTTTAAAACCGGATACATGAACAGTATCTAACGGTGAAACAGTTGTCGGTTTATCTGATATTGTAGTGAGTAATTTTGATTTTGGTTGACAATCAAAATTGCGAATTTTTTCTATATCACTGCAAGCCTAGAGAAAATAAAAAAAATATAAATCAGCTAAATAAATAATATAGTAATTTTATTTACTTAATAATTAATTATTATTATATATATCAAGACGATAAGAAAAAAAGCCTATGATTACGAGATATTTTTTCGGTGAGTTGAGAGTGTTTTTACTTAAAAATAATAACATATTTTATTCCTCAAATATAAAAATAACTTTGTCAATTATAGAAAAATGATTAATTAAGATTTTTTTATCGGTAGTCAAACATTCTTTTTTTTTGTTTTGTTACAAAAGTTCTATAATGTGCCATTAATTTAGAAGAATGTTCTTACCTGTTCATTTGCCGCTATCTGTGGTACATTATCATATTCTTCTTGAAGTTTACTTAAAATTTGTTCAATACTTAAATGTTTACTCGTATTTGGAGTATTTACTCTATTTGTATTTATCAATTTTAATTTAACTTGTAATTTTTTTTCTCGTTCTCGTTCAGCTCGTCGTTGTCGAGCTTTTATTAATTTTCTTAATTTTATTAAATCTTGTTGAATACGAACGTGTAACGGTTCTAAATTAATTTCATTTCTATCATCATTAATATAATCATTTAGACAATAGGATTTTTTAACAACAATTCCTTCCTGTTTTCTTGTCTGCTCTTGTTGTTGTTGTTGTTGTTGTTGCTGTTGTTGTTCATAAATTTGTTTTGCTTTTAAATAAGAATCATGTGCTGCTGTTGTTACAGTTATAGTAGACGATTTTATTCGATTTTTTTTTTCATTTGTCGTTGTTAAATATTCTGCAGTCGTTGTTGATAATTTATGAGTAGAATCATCATTTTGAAAAAATGATTTTGTTTCCGTTATCTTTGTTAATTTTTCATTTGCTTTAAATGGACGACATTTTTTTCGTTGTACAATATAGGGTAGTGGATAACGTGGATGATTTGATAATATTTTATTTTCTGTTGACGTTGATAATGATTGAAGAATATTATTTTGTTCTCCTGATATACCGGTTGTTTTAGACCAATTACGTTTTAAATCTCGATAACGATGTAAACCTAAAAAGAATCGGTAGTAAAAAAAGAAAAGAAGCTCATCCTAGTGCTTTCAAGGGTCTTCCTGTACAAAAGAGTCGCTTAAACCCTACTTTTCTCGCAGAAAGGGAGGATTTTGCTAGAATACAAGAAAAGTGCTAAATTAATTTCTTCTTATTTTTGTAGCGTTGAGCTGACAATGAACATGTAGGGCTTTTCTTGTAAATTGTATAACTTTGCAAAGAAAGGGCGTCTAGAGCTGGGATATGTCTCATTTTAATCAGAAATTTGCGAGCTACAATAATGCCTCATTAAGAAAGGTTTTGGTTATTTTTTTAGAGTTTCTGAAAAACTAATTTTCCAGCAAAACCGGGTCTTCAATGGACCTGGGAAAAATGCTTTATGCCATCGTAATCAGCTCATCAAGCTCTACAAATTAGGATTATCCCATTGAAAAGTGAGAGTAACATTTGGGGACTTTCCCTCGTTAGTTAAGTCGAGCACTTAACAATTTTTATGAAACACCCTCCAGAAAGATAAAAAATGTCAAGTATCAATAAGCCTATTTCTCTCTCTCTTTCTCTCTCTCTCTCTCTCTCTCTCTCTCTCTCTCTCTCTCTCTCTCTCTCTCTCTCTCTCTCGCTTCTTTTTCTTCTTCTTTTAATAACATTTGTTTAATCAACAAAAACTTTCTTCTTTACCTTCGGTTACTCTCATATTAAAGTAATGTAATGATCCATTGCCATTATTGTTACCGTCTTCATTATCTTTATGTGAAACATTTTCATTGACTGTTACTTTTTTATTATGAAATAATGTTTGCATATCTAAACTGGTTTTGAATGAAGTATGATGATAATTAGAGGGAATGGACGCTAAACCGGTAGATATTGTGGAATGTAAAAGAGTCATTGATTAAATTTTTAAAATATTTTCTGTTTTTGAGCAAATATACCTTGACCTTCAATTTTTCAATATCATAAATATAAACAGACTAAATTGTCGTCACTTCTAAAGAAGAAATTTTATACAAGATAGCAGGTGAATAGCAATATAGAATAGACGAGAAACACAATGCTTATTAGTTTTCAGATTTTATTCTTTTTTATCGATAATCTATATTTTCCTATACTTCCTACTCTATCCTCTCGTGAGAAATAGTTTTGATAAATTTGTCTGATATTTTTTAAGCTTTAATCAATATTCACAGACTTAAACAATGTTTTTGAAGGTATAACCTTTTATAGCGAGCGATAACATTACCTCGTGAATTTTTTACAAAATTTAGTTTTAATGTCATAGTGACTTTTCAACATTATGTTGAACGATCTAAAATATCTTGTATAGATGTTGTAAAAACCAAATTTATTTAAAAATTCGATTATCTATATGCTTACCTTCAAAATTTTTATAATATTTTTGATATGAACATTAAAATATCATATTATTGAAATAATCCTTGATTGTAAGTGTGCGTAAATTTTTCAATAATAATAAAAAAATAGAGAGAAGTGTTTTTCTTCTTGATCTTATTATTTTACTTTATTTTAAAATCAAACATTGTTCTCTATAGTCACACATATACACATACTTGAGAAAAATGAATAAAATCATAATCCATTATATTTGCTAATATACTTTATGGTAATAAAATACTAATTTTTATTTTTTTTTTGCATTGTCACATGAGAGACATTAAAGTTAAAAATGTAAATAATCTACAAGACGAGCGGGGGTAGTGACTTTATTTTATTTTTACCTTTTTTTATCGTCAGGTTTTTTTACTTTAAAAATGAAATTGTACAATGTTCAAATCAACACTTTGGGGCGTTGTGAAACAACAACGCTAATTGATATATTATCGAAGAGCATAACAAATAATCTCATATTTTTTGTAATTGTAAATAAATGATCCAATCAACTATTTATGAATTTTGTAATTATTTTTTCTGGGGAAAAAAAAATTGATCACAGTAATATTAAAGGGTATTCGTCGGCTAATTAATTTTTTTTCTCACTCGTCGACAACCATTGGAGGGGGGGGGGGGCAGCGACGGCAGATGAAAGATGTTAGTGTGGTGCCGACACTATAAAATATACAAAAAACAGGAAAAACAATTAACGTGTCGACAAATCGAAACTGAACTACATTAAAGTACGGTTTATTTTCTACAATTAAAAATATTAAGAAAAATCAAAAATGACGGATCATATGGACTGTTCGGATATTCGATAATCATATTTTCAAGTTCTTTTTTGAGCCATTCTACCCTTTCTAGTAAAAAAAATAATTATTTAGCGATTTCTCTCCCTTCTACTACAATCATCGCAAAAAAAAGCGTTTTCATGTGTAGTTGTAGTGAATGTTTGGTTATCCTTACCTCAAAGTGTCTCAATATTCAGATTTTTAATTTTCTTTTTAGAGCTAGTCCAATTCCATTCGAAACTTAAATTTTGAAAAGGGCCTTGAAAGAAGTGACGATTGGACGTAGTCATTGCCACATCACTATCTACTTTCAAAATATTAAGATCGAGGATGATTTTTGAATTATTTTTAAACGAAAACACATAAAAAGTTGCAATTTTCGTTATTCGATTGAAAAGACCGAGGTATGTCGTTTCATAAGAAATAAGGTCTGAAAGTCCTTTTTTAGAGAATTGAATTTTGAGTACGCTTGTAGAAAGCTTATTTGAATTACAAAAATCGAGGTGCATAGTTTAATATGCATAGTCATTGTGTCTCTATCGATTCAAACTACTCTAAAACTCGTAGTTATACTCGATTTTATCTACACTATATAATGACGTTCAGTAACACTTTTGAAAATCAACAGAAAGCACTTGGATTTATGAAAAGGCTTTTTAGAAATATTGAATGTGTTTTACTAACGTTGAGTACAGAATCAGATTGAGCATATAAACGAATTGAAGTTCTAAACGGCTTGTCCACGTAACGCGACACTTCGCTGATCAAGTTCTTTTTGAATATTCGTCATCGGAAAATCGATAGGGACACATCACGAGACGTAGCTTTTCATGCTGATCACGAATCTGACTCTTTTTTGAAGAAAAAAATTAATTTTCAATAAAAAAAACTTTTTAATTTCAATTTTCTGGCCTAGACATTTTTTTGTTCAAAAAAATTTTAAAAACATGCTGTTGAATAGAGAATTCGATTCTCTACAAAATGACTTATTTTGTTTTGAGATCTATTTTTCAGTCGAGACACAGTGGATGCTTGAAAGTTTCAACTTCCGCCTTGATCTGAAAAGCCTCGGAGAATTTGTTGAACTTTCTTTTTAACTGGAGTCTTTTCAGGAAACCTAGAACTATACAGACTATAAGTATGAAGTTTTTTGAACAACGTTTAGTGCCTAAAAATGGTGGGACAAAAAAGTGTGTCACAGTGTTACTTTACAAAATCGACTTTTCTATGCGTGCGAAAAGGTTTGGAAAAAAGTTCTTTTTACCAAAACAAGGTCCGTTAGCTCCTCTACGACTTGCCTCTAGAAACTTTTCATGTTGCACAGCTCAATTCGCAGAAAATCAGAGCTGTATCAGGAGTTCTCAAAAAATAGAAACCTTTTCCGTCACAGCGTTACCCGCCGAAAAATCTTTCTGGAAGTTCGAGTCTTGAACCAAAATTCTTCATTTTTATATCGTAAGTAGAGTGTGGCGAGCTGCGTCGAATAGCACCAGAACAAACTTTCTAGCTCCTACAGTGTTCGAGAAAAATGCAAAGTACTGTGTCGAAAATGTCACAGCGTTACCTTTGGACAAGCTCTAAAGTAGTTTCAATCGATTTTCACTGAATTATTTAAGGATTTTTTAACTTTTAATGAAATTAGTCAAACATGGGCTATATTCAACTAGTGCATGTTTTTACCAAGGTTTTTGGTGATTTCTCAAAATATTTCAAAAAATTGCATGATTGGTTTTTGAATGTGCGTATGAATAAGTTTGTTCAAACTTCTTTTAGTTAGCAGTAATGTTCATAATTGTACAGAGAACAGAGTCCGAAACGAATTAGGAAAATGTGATTCGATTCGACTTGATTCGATCAAAATGGAAACTTTGTTCTTTTTTGTTTACTTGAAACGTCTATTGAGAAATATATTCTCTCAAGCTAGAGTAGTCGAGTGAATCTGCCATCTCTGTGACTAGGACTTCCACACATTAATTTAATCAAAAGAAAGAAAAAAATATTCACAAGAAATATCTTGTTGATAGGATTAGCCTTTCATTTATTGTTTTCTATCGAACATAAAAATAATATATTGCTGATCGTCGATGGATCTGGGCTTGAGCGACGTTAGTTAACAATCTGATCTGCGATGCTAAATTCTCGTTCAACCGCAGCTGAACTATGAGGAACTGAGAAATATCGTTTCGTTAAACGAGTCAAATTTGGAGATAGCCCTAGAGTAGATCAGCCATTGCACAACGTTTTCTCTCAAAATCTCTTTCTACGATTACAGCGTTTCGTACTTCCAAGATATCTCAGTCATTTTTCAAGCTAGAGACTTCAGATTGGTTTCAAAAAATAGAGAAATGTTTTTTCTATGTCGTGACGTCGTTAGATTTTTCAATTTAACTTTAGTTCAGGAGAAACTTAAAAAGTTTCTGAAAAGTTAGAGAGATTTTATTGACTTTTCGAAAAGCTTTTAAATTTCTCCTGAACTAAAGTTAAATTGAAAAATCCAACGATGTTACGGCATAGAAAAAACATTTGTATATTTTTTGAAACCAACCCGAAACTAACTAAAACTGACTAATTCGATTCGATTTAAACCAAAGTCGGTTTGGTTAAAGATCGAACAGAATCGAATGTCGAATTATTCGATTCGTTTCGGGCTGATTTGATAGAGAATGAATTAATCTCACACTAATCAGTAGTTAATAGAATTCCCGATGACCAAATTTTCTGCCTAGTAGAACTATTGCATTCTGTTCGAACGAGTTTCATATGCAGCAAAATAATATACGTCATAAATGATTTCAGCTATACAATAACACTTAAATGATTATACAATCTTTTTATTAACAGCCTCCCACCCCCCTTTCCCGGTGAGCAAAATAAATTATTTGCTAACATCTCCTATTCTCCCTTGGGTTAGATAATATCCGAATATAGTCAAAGTATAAAAAGAAAACGATTGTGTACTTGATAATACTTGTTTAATGAAAACTTATTCTTTCACCTTTGCAGTACATTGAAAAATCAAAAAGTATCATTTTTTGTTCATCACTATACAATACTATCTTCTTATTTAATTTTTAGTTATACGACGTTCTTGGAATAGTGAAAATATTTTTCTCCCGCTTTCTAACACAATCAATATTATTTTGAAGTTAAAAAAAGAAAAGAAAACTAGAAAATTGTTAGACAACGTAAAGAAAAGAAAGTCAACATAATTAACTTTGATGTTAAAAAAAACTTTTTTTAACTTTACTTTTTCAAGTTTAACTGAAAAAATTTTCTGCCGGAAATTATTAGACTGAGAATATTTATTCGTAAAAATAGAAGAAATTTTTGTTCAAGAATATTTATATTCTATAGCATATAATTGCACTGTTTTATGCAAGAACCCGGTATTTGTTAGAATATATTCAAATATTTTTCATGTGAATATTATCACTAGTGAGGAATATTCTGTGGAATATCAGTCATTTCCTATCTTGGCTACTTATGTCAAACGATACACACAACGTATGTCGATTATGTAAAACAAGCAAGTCGTAGCAAACGAATGCGGTCTGATATTCTAAAAACGATTTGCGTCGCATTAGAGCCAATCGTGTACGACTTCCGTGCAAGTTCTCCCACTTTTTACAGCGTATTTTACCGGCTACTTTTTTACTATGCTAGTCTTGTAGAGCTAAGCTCATCGAGGTGTACACGAATCCGTGTTCACTTTACGTTCAGAGTTTGTGTTTTGGCCGAAGGCCGAGTCGAAAGTTTCGATTTTATCGAAAAATTCCCACCGGACATGCTCGCTTTCATTTCAACGAAAGGGGTTGTAAAATATTGGAGACGAGCATCCAGAACTATCTATATGACGTAGTTTAAGCTTTTAAGATTACATATTAGAAATTAAGCGCTTGGCTGAACGGACGGGGGACGATAGGAGCCAAATCAGTCCCCTCACATATAACTCTTATATTCTTGGATCTGGTATAATTTTTGTCCACGACTACACCAAATATATTTTTAGACCTTAAAAAATCGTCTTCAGTGCCTCTGGGAACAATTTTCGCATACAAAACTACTCTCTCGTTAAATGAACTTTCCTCAGAGTATTTTCATTATTTAATCTCTTTTGTTCAGAGCAAACCTCAACTATTACATACCGATTGACAGGAAATTTCACGGGCTGCAACAAAATTTCACGAGGTCTCCTATTATATAGAATCCTATTGGAAAATGTTTACACACTACCCGGTATTTCTTGTTGTCATAGCAGTTTGCTGTGATGCTCAAGAGTATTTTAGATGTTAGACTATCGATTTCTATTTTCTTCTCAATATATTATATAGCATTTTGCAGCTCATGAAATTTCCTGTCAATCGGTATGTAATAGTTGAGGTTTGCTCTGAACAAAAGAGATTAAATAATGAAAATACTCTGAGGAAAGTTCATCTAACGAGAGAGTAGTTTTGTATGCGAAAATTGTTCCCAGGGGCACTGAAGACGATTTTTTAAGGTTTAAAATATATTTGGTGTAGTCGTGGACAAAAATTATACCAGATCCAAGAATATAAGAGTTATATGTGAGGGGACCGATTTGGCTCCTATCGTCCTCCGTCCTTTCAAAAATCGTATGGAAAACCATAGAATTTTCATTTTGCCGCTGCAAGATCGTAGAACGAGATTGTAAAAACCATTCTATAATCAAAATGTAGCAAAAATCATGCTGGTTCTTTTACCAGAAACCAGAAATTTATCGGATTTATCGTGTCCGAGATATCTGACTTCGAAGATTTGAGATTTTCAAAAAATCCCCAATTTGGAGTTCAATTATCTCATAAACTACACGTCAGAGCTTGTTTAAAATCTTTCTATCAATACATCTGCATTCGTACTATCATCAGCCAAATGTACGAAGCTCTCCTCCTCGAATCAGCCGAGATCTAGACCTGCAAAGTTCTCTCGAAAATCGGTTTTCAATATAATCGGAACTTCCTTTAAAATCTTTTTAAACTACATAGTCAAATAGCCCATTTAATTGTGAGACAAAATGAGATGTCTCGCAGGCGTAGCACAACTAAAACATGAATTACATATTGGTAAGATGTGTAATTCATCGTTGCTGATAATTTTCGTTATTTTGTTAGTCATTACTGGTATTACTGCCTGAAACCAGAAATCTATCGGATTTATTGTATCCGAGATATTCGACTTCGAAGGTTTGTGATTGTCAAAAAAAAGAACACGTTTTGAAAATATTCCTCAGTGTAGCATTTTGAAACTGCTCTAAAAAGAAGTGTAGGAAATGGGAACCGTTGTTTTTCAGCTACATTCTTACCCTCATCATCGAATGTAATTGATATTTATCCATTGCATGTCGGGTTAGAAAGTCAGTTAAAAGCCATGTTATATCAATAGCTGTTATGTCAGTTGGATTTATGACGAGACTTCAGATAGATCTCATCAATGCTTTTTGTTCAACAAAATGTCCTAAGAATCGTGTAACAAAAATTGTAAAAACAAAGAATAGTAAGAAAAAAGAGAAAAATTAAGTAAAAACAATCTGATAGCTCGTCCTATTATTGCCTATTTTGTTTTTTGTGTTTCTAATTAGCGTTTAAATGATTTACTAAAACATATTCTTGATACTGATTAGAGTTTGACATCTGCTTAAAGCTATCTTCTATAAATCCTGCATTCGCCTTAAGCTCAATCTAAGCTTGTTCTAAGTAATATTTTAGTCCTACACTGGTCTAGTTCAATCTTAGATTCACCTGAAAATTCCAGGCGCATCTTAAATTTAGACGTTGATTCTTTCTTCTATCCCAGAATGTGAAAAATTTAAGCTGGATTAAAAGAGTTGCGGAAAATTTTAATAGAAGTTTCTTTAAAAGTAAATATCACAACACCTATTCTATTATTAAAATTCTATTATTTATTATTAAGAATGATAATTTAATGAACACTAGTACACAGTTGTCAGCTGCAACAAATAGTGGATTGTCAAATATAATCGTTGATTCAAATGATATGATCATCAGCAATGTGATGGTGTATTTATTAGTGGTACTGATAGTGTTCACAATGAAGAAAAAATATTTGATTTGAAAGTTAATGATTGCAAAAATGGATTAAAATTTCCGGAAAAGATAATATGAACATTTGATTATTATAATAAAATTATTCATGCTTTAAAACAACCGAAATCATGCAAGCCTCCTGGTATTAATAGTAAATTTTATGGTTGGTGTAAATAACACTTCAAAATTGACAATGCTTCTAGTGTTGAATTATTGGGTATTTGTAAACTACGCTCCCGCCCCCAAACTAATTTTTAATTACATGCTTGGATAGAGGGTGCCAAGTTCACTTCACGCCCACCCATATTTTTTTCTATCTTAGCTTTGTTGGAGTGCAGAGTGGCACACACATACACACACACACATCTCTCATCCCATATCTCATCCCGAAGTTGCTTCTAAAGAAAGAAAAAGTTTGTTTTTTTTGTTTTATGATGACATATTATTCTATATTGTCTATTTCTCTTTAAGTGATTAATGGTAATGATAATATCGTTCATCTATACATATATACAGAGCATTCAAAATCAGTTGATGATGAATCATTGCCAATGTCTTTATCTATTCATCACTAATGAACTATAATTATGAACTTATGGACACTAATACTATTGTCTGTCCGAAAATTCAGTAGACTCGGATATTTTTTGAATACTTTCACGCTCATACTTTTATGTCGCGCAACATGGCTTGTAATGCTGCTAAACGGACAACTTGTTCAATTTGTGCGCCATTATGTGCGTTGATTATTACGCCCAGGACGCTTTGGAAGTTGATGTCTTGCATTTAAATTCCCTATGAGAATAGTCTGATCGATAGTAGCAGGTAAACGATGCTGTTGAGAATTAAGTACTTCTACAGTAAACCAATAGAAATGAAAGACATTTTTATAAGCGACGTGATCAGCACAAAGCTTCACCTAATAATAAACTGTTTCCGGGGTTATCAAGTCCACGTTTAATTGTCATGTTTGGATTTGACGATGAAGCTGATAGATAAACAGTTTCATTTACAGATAAAGGCGCTGAAGGGGAAAGATTCGTCTCTAATTTAACAAAAAACACAAATTACAACTGTTCCCTGACTTAAATGTACGTAATCTTTATCTAGAAATAGTTGACAAGATTGACCTGTAGGAATAGTAGGTACGATTGTGGTTGGGCTTGTAACCAATTTAGGTGTTAGCAAATTAATCGTAGAATTTTCATTATTATCGTCAACAACTTCTGCGAGAGTACTTGATTTTGTTTTATTTGTTTTTCTTTCTTTAGCACACGGTGTTCTATTAACGATCACTAAAAAGAAATTAACTTTATACCTTAGGTGACTCCCGAGGAAACATTTCCAAGTGAACCTCTCCAATTCCAATTATTTGTATAAGGATCTATAGATCTCAGTGAGGCAGTAAATACCCTAAAAGGATTCAAGCCCATGACTCTTGAAGACCAGGTTTTCTGGAAAATCAGTTTTTAAGAAACTCTAAGAAATAATCATAACCTTTTCTTAATGAGGCATAATTGTAGCCCGCTAATTTCTGATTAAAATGAGACATATCCCAGCTCTAAAATGCCCTTTCTTTGCAAAGTTATACAATTTACAAGAACAACACTAAATTAATTTCTTCTTATTTCTGTAAGTTAGCATTGAACATTTACAGCTGTTCTTGTAAATTCTATAACTTTGCAAAGAAAGATCATGTAGAGCTGAGAGATGTCTCATTTTAATCACAAATTTGCGGGCTACAATTATGCCTCATTAGGAAAAGATTTTGCTTATGTTTTAGAGTATCTGAAAAACTGGTTTTCCAGAAAACCGGGTCTTGAAGAGTCATGGGCCCGAATCCTTTTAGGGTATTTACTATCTCACTGAGATCTATCGATCCATACACAAATAATTGGAATCGGAGGGGGTCACTTGGGAATATTCACGCGTCAGTTAAACCTGTCTGCATTCCAAAAGAGAACAGTCAGATAGATGTACGTCGAAGTAGTAAGCAAGACCAACGATTTGAGGTAACATGTGAGCTAATATGATTATATGGAATTACATACAACTCAGCTTCGATTAAAGTGTGTGGACTTCTGAAAATTCATTGAAACTTTTATATCATATCTTATCTTTTATATCTTTTTCGTTTTGCAGAATAAAAATTTCCGAATCAACTATTTCCGAATAATGTTCTGCATGAAGTAATCTAACTCCACGTTCTGTTAAGAATGTGTCACTTGATGGTACATATTTGGAATTTTCATAGTTTTGTACGTATTCAACATAGGAAACATTATGTGATGTTAATTTATTTTCCAAATCTAGACGTTCAGCAACAGGTGGTATCACTTTCACAAACGTAATAAATGGTTTGTTTTGATATGCATTAAAAAAAAATGCTTCATGTTTATCACCCCGTATTAGTAACTTATTCAGAACCATTTTTGCTAAAACAGCATCAATTTCACAAGATTTTAACTTTTCAAATGGATTGCCATTTCCATACAATTCTGTTTTGTGAAAGAATTTTAGTTTTAAATTTAACACTTGGTGAATATCGCTCGATGTAACGACGACAGCGTTTGTAGATAAAAGACATAAATCATTATGTGGAATTAGGTTGATAGGTTTGCAATCAAATAAGTACGATAATTGAGGTAATAAAATTCGCAAATAAAAGTTCGCGCCTATTTTACAAGCTTCTCTTGATATTGTTGATAACAAATCGTTTTTCGGTGTTCCAGCATCATTTAATGATCGTTCAACTAATATTGGACAGCCATGATGTTCTTCAACTAATGATTTTGCTTGTTCATAAAAATCATTGTCCAACAAACCAAACGTTTTTCTGTCAATTAAATCAATCATAGAAATACAATCAATGATTTGTTGTACATTGGCACAACGTCTCGGCACCACGTCTCATTATCGATTGCTGTAGTTTTGTGAAGTTTTTCACGTCCCCGGTCAATCCATTAAATTGAACGTTTTTTGATAATTTATCAAGAATAGGCTGCAGATAAATATAAGCATCATCTGCTAACTTATAAATTTTAAAACTAATTAAATGACGAACTAAATATAAATGATCTAAACTTGCACATTTTGTTTTTTGTTTTTGTTCTTTAATATTTTCTAAACGTTCCGTATATCGCTTTTCTTCCTGTTCCTTTGTTTCATTTTCTGGAGCATTTCTCTGTGGATTATCATAGCAAAATATTAAAAAACGTTCAATATATCCACCAGATATTTCATATATGCTAAGAAGAAAACAACAATTATGACAAAAGTAAAAGCTCTTTCGTAGCATCTTTCAAGCATTCGTTTCCCTTCAGTTGTGGACAAAAAAAGGTATCTGGGGCATGTCTTAACCATAACATCTTTCTGTAATCTAAAGATTATAGCTGACGTTTCAACAAGCAGCACGAAAAATTATTAAAATGATGACATGTTATGAGACACTACCTTGCGTATCTCTGTGGTTTAATCGATAATCCTTCTACATTTTTCGTTCCACATTTCTAATGTGAGCGAGAGGAAGCATACTATATCTCATCGCTCTGAACTTTCACATCTTTTATTCATCTATTTGATGGCGTATAACTCACTACGAGATAATAATGACTTTCCCGAAAACCATCGCGTTTCGCTTATTAAACCGCGACCGACTGTGAGCGCAATTTAACCTCAAGTCATAAACAGATTGTGCTTTTCACTGTTGCAATCGGTGTCACAGTTCCAGACACCGTAAGCGGTTAACTCACAAAGAACCCAGATCGAGCTGTACGCGTACGTCACGCCTCGATGCATTTTTTGAGATGAGCTAATCACTTCCTATTGAACTGTTGGACTATAACATAGAACATGTATAAATAGAAGAAAGCTGTATAAGAATAGTAGCGCGCGAGAGAAACTTCTAATTAATAGCTTTTTTTTTCGGTTCATAGAGTAGTGTGCGGGGAAAAGAGACACCTTTTCAATTTTTTGTCGTACTTTTATCAGTTCTGAGTTATTTTTGGTCGGGAAAACTTGCTGTTGAACATTGAAATCAGCTCACTACGCCACTGTAAAATTTTGATATTTGATTCGCAAAAAATGCGATATAAATTCGAACATATTTTATGCAATAAATTAATTTCATAATTAAGTATGATAATTATAGCCAAGCATTTTTAATAAAACATTCTGTCCATATCATCAACCAGAATCTCCTCTATCGAACCAGCCTCTATCGAGAAAAAAAGGATGAGATTTGACCGACGTATCGATCAAATACAGAAAAAATACGTTGGAAGACTACAAGGCCTCTCGAAAATCAGGTCAATTTAAGGCACAAAAATTTCTTTCCAAGGACAGTCTTATGAAACAGATTTTCTTCTTCAAGATGAAAGATCAAACGATCTTAGATTTGCATGTGCGAAGAAGATACTGGGCAATGTCGTCCAGTTAGTGCATTTCAAAGGCAGAAACGAACACCGAGAGCTGTTTTCGTGTTAACTTGCAAAACAACCGCCAGTGAAAGTAGCGTGGCCTTTCCTCTTGAAGAAGAAAGTTTATTTCATAAGACTGTGGGGACTAGTGGAGTGTCTCTTTTTCCCCCACTCGGGGTAAAAAGAGACACTTTCATGGGGTTCTTCGCATTTTGGATGTGGTTGAAAATCGGACAGATATTTTAAAACGTATGTTCAACAACATCAGATCAATAATACATTGTCTGTTAACAATCCATTCAGTAGCTGTAAACACATATTTCAGTAGCTTTAAATACCAATCACAAATTCACTCCAAAAGTTTAGAGCTACTGAAATGTATATTTACAGCTACTGTGAAAAAACCTTCAGCCAACCACAAAAATCCTTGTATATAAACTTTATACTTCAAACTTCCGTTTCCTTCGGGAAACGGACAAGTCCCTAGGAAGTTCTCACAAAAGAAATAGATAGCAGTATTTTAGTAAGTGAAAAAAAGATTTAACTACTCATAAAAATACCAATATCAATCTTTTAGGTAATTAGAATACAAAATAACATCGCACTCGGTTCACGTCTGATTCAAATTAAAATCTTAAATCGAATAAAGAGTATAACTTGCGTGAATCATCTTCTGAATTGAAGTCAATGCTCACGCCTGCCTTCGGTCGGCGTACGTGCCTACAGTGTTTTTAATGACTAGTGGGACAAACGAGAACAAAATGGGTTTCCATTCTGTTTTCTACACTAAGAAAAGTATATCCCACTTTGTCTTCCACTTTGCTTCTGACAAATTTCCGCTTTATCTTTTTTCATATTTTCTGCCTTACAAAATTAATCCATCGATCTCTGCTTGTTAAACACTTGTGAGCGAGAGAGACAGTATAATTTCTGTTTAATCGTCTGATTTTCATCACAATACGACATCGCTAGTGTCTGGAGATTAACATCAGCATGGTATTAGTCAAAAATGAAAAGGATTTGTGACTTCTGTCCAAGCGTATAAAAGTTTTGCAGCGTTTCTTTTTCTTCAGAAGTGTTCACCTTCCAGCTATTGTTTTAGTTACATTTTGTTTTAGATGAGTCATCTAAGGTGTTTGTTGTTAAATTTGTAATTGAGCAGGGTAACGAAGTTAATTTCCATCCATTTAACTGAAAGTTATAAAACGAAACCCCTGTGACGATAAAAAGAATCTCTTTTAGCCAGTGTTAGGCAAAAACTTTCAACTATTCCTATTTTGTCCACTTTACATTTCATATCAAAGTGGAAAATCCCACTTTGATCCTAACAGCAATTTGCTGCGGAGCAATTTGCACTTTAAGTGGAAAGTTCCGCTCTGAAAAAAATTCCTATCAAAAACACTGCGCACCTAGATGAGAAATATAGCGAACTTCTTTGATACCACGAAAAAACCGCATAATGTAATATGAACCTAAAACGTTTTCTGGATCCACACACAGACCGACAACTATTTTGTAAGATCCTATACTAGCCTAAACCCAAGCGAATAAATTCTTAACACGGCAATAAAAAAGTGTCGTTATACCCTCTCACTGGAATAATATGAACCAACCAGAAAAGAGGCTGAGCTAGGACCAGTAGTTAGACTAAATGCTAGGACTGGACTGCACTCAATCCTAGCGTGTCTTAACCCAGCATAACTGAGAAATCTTGTGAACTTCTCTGATTCCACGGAAAAATCGCACAATGTAGCATAAATCTGAAACGTTTTCTGGACGCTCTCTGAAGATATGATGCGAGCCTCCAAGTATTTCTGATGGATTCGCCATAGTAGATTATTTATATTCTGCAAGTAAAGTTTTACTATCTGTGGATGACTTTTTGTATGTTATCAGAACTGACTGATCTACGGTGACATCTATCTCGAACCACAGAAAAAGTTTGGTTAGCTTTTTATCTCTCTGTAAGCACTATTTCACTCATCGCGTTGAATATTTTCTTTCTCCTATAAAAAAGAATTTCTATTTTTCTCTGTTGTGGTTGTGATTGGCTTATCCATGGAAGATCTATTCGCCATTATTCCGTGTTTTGCGCACAGGCACACACACCGACAACCATTTTGTAATACCCTAGATACCCTAGACTAAAGTCAAGGGAACAAAAGTTCATTATTACGCTTAGTCGAAAGCAGCTATATCCCATCACATACTTGTGTTATTCAGGATACTTTCGTCTATACTCACGCATTACTCAGTGGTAATATAGTGCCTTTTCCGAATGAGTAGTATTTCGATCTAGTGGTACATACATATCATAGTTCTGATTGATTATTGTATGCCACTTCCCGGGTCCAGAAAAATGGACGGTAAATGGCCAGTTAACTGATATTTAAAGAACATATCACCAAATCAAAAAGTTTTAAACGCTTGTTCGGTCAAAACCAATTGCAAATTCGTCTTCTCTATAGTCGATTATGTTCTACACGATAACTTTTGGATCGGGGTACTTTGGACAAATATTTTCGCCATCGCTTTGCCTCTGGCCCTATACAGTGACTTTTTCGAAAATTTTTAAGCAAGATCATGAGCAAACTTTTTTCCGAGGTACCCCGATCCAAACGTTATCGTGTAAAAGATAACCGACTATGGAGAAGACGAATTTACAATTGGTTTAGACTGAACAAGCTTTTAAAATTTTTAATGGCTTGAAACGGCGTAAGAATGGCCAAATAACGGTTTCATCCCCTACTTGATTTTAGATCGTTAATTTAACGATCTGAAAATGCGTGGTTTATGCTCAAGCTCAAAAAACAAGTATTTAACGCTACCATTAAGTACCCACTTTTTAGTTTGACCGTACGTTTTTGAAAACACACACGTTTTTGAAAACATACGGTCGGTACCTTTTGAAAAGCTTCGACTCGTTAATGATGTTGCTTCTTTATCACCGTTATATTTTGTCTTCGATCGACAATATAAATTACCGAGAAACGTTAAGATAAAGAAAAAATTTTCTTTCATTTTCAGGGATACTCGGGGTTCATCAGACTCATTTATGGTCTGTAACTACTCTAGATGTTAAGACATTTTGGCAGTAATAAATGAAGTCGAATTATATCTTTAAAATAGGAAAATGACCTTCGAATAGTCTAAAAATGATTTAAATATAATCTTAAACCGATCAATATTAATTTACCATTTTTACACCGCGAAGAAAATAATCACTTTCAGGCCTTAATACAAGTTATTCAGATGATCATAATGCTACATTCATTTATAATAAAAATGATCAGTCATAAACCGTAGAATCAAGCTAAGTTGGTCTTATCATTGTCTTCAGAATTTTAAATAATAAATAAAGCACAAACACATCCTTTAGAAAAGACGAAAACCTAAGGGTAATAATCCATTTTACTGAGAGTTATACTAACTCTACTACTGTCCGCTAAAAAAATCCGTGCGTGTGACCATATTTTGAATAACTCGAGAACGATAAGAGATAGAGATCTCCGACTTTCACCATTTTGTGAAGATGTTACTCTACCGTTCTATCTACGAAGACTTGGAGAACTCGAATTTTCAGGTGCTGTACCTCACACAAATTTCATAGTGCAAACAAGTGGATATGTAAGTTTGGCCTTTTCACTGCCAAAAAGGTTATTGGAAATCCTATTGATAGTTTCTATCAGATAAGGCGATAGAAGCGAATGAATGAAATGAAAAGAATGAAAATCAGAATATTCATCCTTCTGTCGCTTTGTACTTCACATTAACCGGATCCGTTCTCTTCAGCTTCGTTACGGTCCATCTCTAACTACTTCGCTTCTCTGTAATATAGAGCAAATGAAAGCATTGGCTGTCCGCCGGCAGAAAAATTGGGGTGGTAATTGCTATTTGGCCTTCTGTCATTCCAAAACAAGTCAAAATAGGGGTAATCGACCTCGTTGAATCACGTGATGTATGCTTTTAGTTTCAAAGCGAGTTGAAGTCACTATATCAACATTTTCGAAATACCCACTCAATACGCCACAAAGCCGCAGAACGTTGAAATTTAAAAATATTGATATAGTGACTTCAAATCGTTTTGAAACTAAAAGCAAATATCACCACGTGACTCAGCGTGGTCGATTCTGACTTGTTTTGGAATGACAGAAGGCCAGCTGGCTGAAACTGGGACTCTCCAAAAAATGCTTATAGCTCATGAACGGAAGAAGTGAGTAACGTCGGCCTTGCACACATTTGTAGAGGACATTCTAGGCTAATCTTTTACATAGTTTGTACGTAGAGGACTCTATGGAAGAATAAAACAACAGCGACCGAATATTTTGAAGGCGTGTGAGATACAGCACCTGAAAATTCGAGTTCTTCAAGTCTTTGTACATGGAACGGTAGAGTAACATTTTCTTCACAAAATAGTGAAAGTCGAAGATCTCTATCTCTTATCGTTCTCGAGTTATTCAAAATATGGTCACACGCACGGATTTTTTTAGCGGACAGTAGTGGAATTACTATAACTCTTGAGTAGGAATGATTTTTTTACTATTAAAAATATGTTCGTTTATCTGTGCTATTTGTATAAAAAAGAATCTCAAAGAGAGACAGTTACAGTTATTGTAGGATTGTTTCACAGTTTTGTTCGAATGTTAGATTAGCCTTTTTCTTCTGTAATACAAAATGGATTTACATAAAAATTTTAATTCTAATGCTATTCCTTTCATATTTGTTTGAGTGGAGTTTTTTTAATTTTCACGACCAAACAGAATGTGCAATTGTTCTTTATTGTTACTTTATATACATATTGTGGTTTTTTATTATAGATAGGTGCACGTGATGAAAAGTTATTTGAAGTATAAACGGCGAAAATGTCATTAATATCCAACGAAATAAAGCTTAATCGGGTGTTTATAACTGGCGGTAGTGGCTTCATTGGTTCGCATTTGATTGATTATTTAATAAAGCAGGTATGTATTTTTACTTTCTATTTTAACTTTATTCTTAACCTACTCATAGAAATTTTTTATCGATTTATCTTCTCCAATATATAGAATGTAGCAGAAATTATATGTTTAGCCCGTTCAGAAAAAGCAGCTGATACAGTTAGAAAAGCAGGTGCAACTGATATTTGTTATGGAGATGTAAATGCTTCATTGGATATATTAAAACCTGGTAAGATTAATTTACATCTATGGTTTTATAAAATAGTTGAAAATCTAAATAGACTTAGTAATTGTTCTTCTTTTTCTTTTTATTACAGCTATGTCAAAATGTGATGCAGTATTTCATTTAGCTGCAAATGTACAAACTTGGAGTCGAAATTATGATGACTTTCAACGTGCTACTGTTGATGGTACACGTACTATACTTCAAGCAGCATCAGAAGTAGGTGTTAAACGTTTTATACATTGTTCAACAGAGGCAGTTTTATCTCCAAATGGTCCATTAATTAATGCAGATGAAACATGGCCTGTACCAACTAATATACCAAAACAATATTGTTATTCACGTTCAAAAGTAAGATTACGTTTTAATATATATATATAAATTAAATTGCATCTAAACAGTTGTCATGAATACAATAGATTCTAAAACATACACACAGCTGAAAAGGCTAGAAGCTATTGATTACTCAAGTATAGTTATAACTACATGGAAGATCATATTTTGTTTTGGTTGCCGCACTATGTATGTGTCTTTCATCTTGAACTTTTCTAATTAAAAACTTTTATTATAAATCCAAGCAGGCATGAGCGAGTCCAAGTCCGGACTGAAAGATTTTTTGGTGGACTCGGACTTGAATTTTTGTATGTCGAGTCCGATCTGTTCAACTTTTAACACAAATGAGCAGAGAAAAATGAAAAGCGAAATAACAACACCTTATGTTGCACATGAAATTAAAAATTTTGTTCGGGAGACGGACATAGAACGTAACCTTATTTTCGAAAAATCAAATATCTATCCAGGGCTCAGCAAATTAAAATATAAACCATCCCCTCATCAAAAAAAAAAGATTACCGGACTCGAAATGGACTCGGACTCACCCATGCCTGAATCCAAGTCTCATAGAGACTAGAAAGGATACCGCTGGTTTTCAAAATGTTCGACGTTAATCCTAAAATTATGGCTGATAGTAGAGCTTCACATGATACACCTATCTGATGCTTTTCAGGATCTGATGCCCATTTGTTCTCAAATAATTGAAACATACGATTTTTCCAAAAGGTACCGAAAAAAGTATGATTTTTCAAACTCAGTATTTATGTCGACAGACATTATGTATTTTTGTTGGAATTTTTGTTTTTTTATTTTCTTCTTTCTTTCGTACTCGTATTTTTGACAAAATGTGCACCTCGTGATCTAGCGAACTATTCTACGTAGAAAACTTCTTAAAACCGGAGGACAATCTCTCAACATTGGAGATTTATCAATGCACGTTCTTTTTTCAAACAGATGTCCAGATTCGGCACCATAAGCTACACAATTAGAAATAAAATGTTTTTTGGACTTAGAAACTTTTCGTACATTTATAAGAGCTGATTGTCCGGCGCTATTTGTTCTTGAGACGAAATGTCAAATAAATATATCTCTATTCATTTGATTTACTGAATATATATATATATTAAGGAGCGGCAGGTTCCGACAGTGACAGAATCTGTCGATATCACAACTTGTGCATAGCGCAATTGCGAACTCAGTATTTTTAGTATATTATGTCGATGAATACTCTATATAAGTAATAAACTTATTGACTAATTTATTAGTTCATTCAGAAACAGGAGTAAGAAATCAAATGGAATAAAATACAATCGAAAAACTGTCTTTGACCTACAATTACATGAAATTGTTTCTTTACGTATGAGCTAAATTTTTACATTTATTTAAATTTAAAGAGGAGTATTTTTTGTTTGACACATGAGATAATTTGTCGAAAAATAAGGAGACATGTTACATATAACAAAGAATTTTTTTATGCACTTAATATAATTCATAAAAATGTATTTTAATTTATTTTTTATTAGGCTGATGCTGAAAATCTTGTTCGAAATTATCCTGATTCAATTATGTCATGTATGATTATTCGTCCACGTTTTGTTTGGGGACGTGGTGATCCAATATTATTACCATTATTTTTATCTAAAATGCAACAACATAAATGGATGTGGATAGATGGTGGTCAAATGTTAACATCAACATGTCATGTACGAAATGTATGTGAAGGAATGTATTTAGCAGCTATACGTGGTCAATCAAAAGAAATATATTTTTTAAAAGATGAACGAAATAGTACAATTCGAGCATTTATTAATCAATTAGTAGAAACACAATCTGTACAATCAAATGGAATGTCTATACCATTTTGGTTAGCATTTATTATAGGATGGTTATTAGAATTCATATGGAAACTTGGAGATTTTCATATTTCACCACCATTAACGCGTCAAAGGTGTATATTATTCGGAAGAGAAATGACAGTTAATGATATGAAAGCAAGAAGAGAATTAGGTTATCAATCACATGTCACCATTCAACAAGGAATGAATGAATTAATAGATGATTATAAAAATGGTTATATCTATAATAAAATAAGATATTAAAAAAAATAAAAGAGTAAGAATAGCAACAATTTTTCTTTTGTTTCCTTCATATGTGATTTAATTTTAATTTAATTTCTTTTTTAAATAAAAGTTCACGACAAATATTCAACTTTCAAAAGACATAGATTAACTCTAATTTCAGAACGTCATTACTGAAAACATCGTCTGTTCTAAAGAGCTTGTTACCTTCATCGCCGCTTACATCTCTTACATACTCATTACGAAGTCGAAATAGACAGTTTGTCCTGCCGATTAAATATAGTTTATCAATCGTTAATCTTTCGAGCATCTCGTGACTACAATGAGCTTCCGCTTGAGACAAGACTTATATTTAATTTAAATAAATTTAAAAATCGGTTGATACTAGTAAAATCAAATTCAAAATTACCTTTAATCAGTCGAAGAGATATTAATATTCACTACTGTCGCCTTAGAGTCGCATTTTTCTCAAGTGAATAGTGACTTATTTGATAAAGGCCTCGTGCATGATTCATCTTGTGAATGTAATAGTCTAATAAAAGAGACTGTTTACCATTTTTTTTTGAGTGTCCCACAACAAAGAGAGAAAAAATCTAATGACACAGTTCTCTAACAGGATTCCAGATGTTAAACCGGATCTTAAATCACTTCTATTACTTAATTGTCGAGAATTATTGTCGAGTTAGTCGTAAACTATATTGCTGATACAGGAAGATTCTCTACTTCTGTCTGATTCACTTTTGTCGCCTTACACGTCTGCAGCATCAACATACCACACAACTATCACATTTTATGCTTACTTACATATTTATTCATAATATTTGCTTTTTCTCGCTTCTTCTCTCATTTTTCCTATTGTACTATTTAGTATGGGTTAGCGAATCTATAACAATCAAGTGTTTGTTTTCTTTTTTTTTACGGTGACCACATGTATATGGATGGATCCTCGATCCACTTTTGTGGGGGCTTATATTTTTTGGATTTTCAACTAATATATATGAACGTATAATTAAGTCAAACAATATGTGTACGAAGGTAAAAGAAACTATTCCAAAAAATATAATAAATGAAGTTGTACAAAGCCTGCTTCGCTATTGTTGAAAAAAAAGGAAAATAAATCTTTAACACAAGTTTTATGCCTTGAAAATGATGAAAATCTTAAACACTATTTAGTGTTTAGATTCTACCGGAATTGCTTTAAAAAATGTCAGACATAATTAGGCTCGTATCAAGCGGACTTTTATATTAAATTTTAGTTATTTTCAACATAAAACAACAACTTGTCTCTCAATATCCCTTTTCAAACTATTTGCATTTCAGGAATAGGTTTCGGTGAGTTTTTATTGAATTTTTTCCTTATGATTAGACATTCAGCCTTCAACACATTCCAAACGTGTTTTGAAATCATAGATTTCTTTTTTATCAATAACAGAATTGATCCCGATTGACGTCTGATGGGGGTGTAAACCTCACATCAAATTTCAACATGTGGAGCGTTGATTTTTTAACTGCTAGCGTGGGTGAGAAGGATGGCCATGTCCGAAATTTTAGTTCAAAGAATTTTCAAGATATGAACATGATGGAAGGAGTTGGCGAGTTGTTTTCAAACGATGAATTGTTATCCAGTTATGTACGAGTTAAATAGAATTCAGACTAAAATATCTATCACATAATCTAATTGAACATAATGGTTGCGTTAATGGATTTCGGATGAAATTTTGTTATTAGAGTGATAGTTCTGGACTGATGAACATAAAATGTTACACGTTAGTTGACAGTGCAAGTATGAAAGGTATGATGAATCAAGTTGTTTTATCGTGATAAATATACGTACATGAAGGCCTTTTTCATAAACTGATACATTTGATAATCGAAACTCATCATAACTGTCGGAAAAAAATTATACATAAAAGAAAAGTTTCGGATCTTTTCGAATCCCTAAATAAGAAAGAAGCTGCAAAATGAAAGAATGCAATAATGTTTTTTCCCTGAGTTCTTGAGAAAAACACTCCAATATTGTGGTGATTTCGAATATCATTTTGGTGTTGAAGAAAAATGAAATTATCACAGTGAAAAACTCATTTAAAATTGTTCGTATGATGAGTCTCACTTGTTATCCAGAGTTAAAGATATTCCTTCGTTGAACATAACGTGTACACGTACACACCCGTTTTCATATACACACAGAAACAATTTATTTCATACGACTATAGAGTTACAGTCAATGGAATAAATTATGACACTTTTGTTTTATTCATCGCAAAAATGGTTCGATATCATTTTGACCAAAAGTTTAATTTCAATGCTGGAACATGGTCTTCATCCAGTTCTTCTCTGTCAGTTTTCACTACTGATTGCAAGAAATCTGAGTTTCAAAGTCTTCATATTTATCATAAAAATCAAATAAATATGTGGTTTTTCACGTACACTATGAGATATTTCGATGTTGGATGTTGGTGCCTATAAATTAAAAAAATATTCATAAGCCGTCGATCGACAAATGATTCACCGTATATGTTTTGGATCAGAGATGGGCAACTCCGGCTAAGTTCAACTCTAACTCTAACTCCAACTCCGCAGATCCCAACTCCAACTCCGTTTCAACTCCAATAGGAACTTATTTTGTCCTGATTCATTTTCTTCTTTATTTTATTAGTAGTTGTTTATTTCGCTTTTGTTTACAAGAGTACACAAAAATAGTCATTTTAACAATTCAAAATTGCATTTCAATAATGTTAATTTTGAAAGCGTACTTTTTGTCATTCTACATCGATGAGATCGGAAAAGAAAACCACTCTGTGAAAATACTCTCTCTACCGGTGCCGACGTGGCAGGTACGCATAATAATTTTTGAGCTAATTTACTTAAAATCGGATATACTGTCTTCTTTTGAAAAATAAGTGAACCATTTTCACTTTCTTCTTTTAGAAAACTAACTATCTCGTCTTGAATAGATTCACCGAGAATAGGTAATTCTGTAGAAGAGGGAGAACATGTGATAAAAGAATAATGCGAAAGAAATAGACATGAGAAAGGAAAAATGAGAGACTTGTTTTCATCAACTCTAATGCGATCACTGCAGAAAGCGACAACGCTGCAATGTTTTCTTTTAAGAGTCAGATTATGTGATGATTTTTATCAGGAAATACATAGAAGAGGAGCTTGTCGGAGACCACTATATGAAACTCTTAAATACGTCCCATATTCTATTCATAAAGCTGCTACCTTAATTTAAGCAGAAGTGGGCAAAGATACATTGAATAAACACTTGTTTGCACTATGAAATTTGTGTTCAGAATGAAAAATTAACCCCAGCACATATTTCGTTTTTGCACATAAGTCGTTCTGGATGTCAATTCGGGATGGTTTACCTTCTGTTAGAAAGCATTCATCAAGTTCTTGAATACTAGGATAATTCTGGAAGAAGGTATTTATCTTCTTCTAATAAATTTCCACGATTTTCAGCAAATTTAATACGACGTTGTTCATTTAACAGGAAAACGACCGCTCGTACACAATTATATTTTTCACGTCAAAATACATACCTTAAATAAAGATACAGAGAGAAAACCAGGAGGTTATTGTGAATGCGGAATATTTCTGAGCATTTGTCCGTTTTTAAAGAACATTGAAGAATTTGCTACAAATCTTAAAACTTTATCGAAGTAGCACTTAGATTTATAAAGAAGTAGAAAATCATTCTTCAAGCCAAAAAGTTGAATAAAGCCGAAAAAAACTAAATAGTTTGCGTTCTATAATCAAATTTTAGCAAACACACTCATTCAGTAGAGCGACACTTTTCTTCATTGACATTTCCATCTTCGTTCTGATTTCAAGAGAGTTGAAAATCTTAAAAAACTATCAGAAAAAAGCTAAGTGAACAATTTCATAATAGTTCATAGTTTTTTCGCTTCAATTCGTTGTACAAAAAAAAACAATTGTTTAAAAGCCATTTCGACCGCGTTCATTTTTAAATATTTTGGGAAAATCCTGATATAAATAGAATGACAAAAAAAGTCGAATACATTTTAGTGAAAGAGTAACAAGACTGTAAATTGTTTGTGGTGCACCTGTAAATACTTTTTCTACGTTCTGATTGTTCTGTTTGTAATAATTGAGGCCATTTATCATCTGGTACTTCTTTTTCACTTTCTCTTAATGTTTGCATTTCTAGTTCAATTATATGATGTTTCTGTTGTTCATTAAGGTTTGAATAAGTTTGTTTATCTCTCGAATAATTCCATAAATATTCTTTGCTGCCGTTTTCATATATAGAATTATTAGTACTAATAGATGTTTCATTTTCAATCGGTTACGAAAGAACTAAAGAACCCGAAAACGGACGATGTTGACACAAATTTGAATGTTATAAGTTTTGTTTTTATTTTTCTATTATATCTCTCTGTTTCATAATCGAGGTTACTTTTTTATTTTTAATTTTCTATTTAGAGTTTCTTTTTGTTTTGTTTGGCTAGAGTCATTGTTCTTTTAGGTTGGGAACCTTTGATGACTCTCACTTTTCGTGAATAAATCGTTCATTCATAGGTTGTTTGTGCATGATAGGTTTTAATATAAAATTAAAGAACATCTGAAGAACATAAACATGTGTGGAAATATTAATGTATAAATTTCTCATAAAAGATCTGGAAACAAAAGCAATTAAACTGCCATATTAATTAACAAAAACCAGTTTCATATAATGATTATCGAATCTAGTGTATCTGAAGAAACACTTGCGGTCTAATGAATTGTATGTTTCAAAATGAACGTTGTTTGCTACTAACGCAGAATTGCAACCCTTATTCTAGGCTAAAAGTAGGATTAAATAATAAATTGTCCAGAACTGGCAGAATGCGCATATTGGACAACATCACGTATCGGCATATATTTTTGTCTGTAGAGTGGGTATTTCTTGCACATCAGCTGTTAAAGTGGAGAAATGCGCTGAAGTCAAGTATATTGCAATTGGTTTCCACTTTTTATCATTGAAAGAACCAATGAAATATTACTTTATTTACAGA